GTGGTAAACGAAGATCAACTCCTGTTCAGCCTGAACTGGTTAAGCCATTTTGATACATGTTGCTTAAAACAATTAAACAATCCTTGTATGAGTGGATCTTGGAGTAGAGCCACAAAGGTGAGGTGAAATGGGGTTTAAACGTCGTACTTAAAGGTCACATGCAACGTAAAACACAACTTTGCAGATTCTGATACCTTTCGGTATGGACTTACCGAAACAAATCGTCAAAAATGCAAATTCAACTTATAAAGTTGAAAAATAACGCGATGAAAAAAAACGCGTGAAATCGGAGTTCAAACGTTTCACTAATTTTCCCCAGACTTTTCTGGGGAATACGGGTTTCAACAGCTGGGCTGCGCTCATAGCACGTGCGCAGTGAAATAGGTTCGCGCAACTTGGAAGCGGGCTGTCTGGTGAATACTCGGTGAAGGCTTTGGTGTGAGCTATTTTCATAATGTTTTGTTGATATCTCACAGGCGAGCTTTTATATGTTATGACAGTAAATAAACTGTTTATATAATTTCATTTGTCTATTTCACCACCGTTCTTCTTACCGAGTCACTTTCTCGCCGATGCTTAAAGGCAATGTCATTATTTAAAGCGTTGACACAATTCCTAACTGTGATGTAGATATGTAAGCTGTCACAGACAAAACTCAATGTCTTGTTTTATTGACACCTGTGTGTCTGCCTGCCTGTCTGCTAATGACAATATTCAATACACAACTGCGATCACTGACCACATGCAATTTGAACTTAACACCAATCAGGCTATACACCATAAACAAAACGCATTGATTTATGGCCCGAGTTCGGTCACTGTCACGTTATGTAATTACACAGACAGGCAGGTGTGATACTTGAACACATGACATGTTATGATGTCTGTTGATTGCAAAATGTTATACACAAAAAATGAGCATGTATTTACAAAACCCAACATCTCTATATATATACACACACAATGAGCCGTGAAGGAAGCATCTGCTAATGAACCAGCCGCCTGCTCTGACTGGGTTCGGTATCCCGGCTGCTTCGTTTCGAGGGAGGTAAACCCAAGTACAAAATATTGCACTTTTGATTTGCGATTATACGCTTATAATTTTGTTTATTTGTTTTTTCATAATCAGCAATGCATATTATATGTCATGAAGAAGTGATAATTGTGTTTTAATTATGTTTGATTTTTTGGTTGTATGTGACCTTTAAGAATATATTTCGCTCATATGACGATGTGCATGCATGTGTATGTGTATGTGCGGCTGCTTGTACTAGCCCAGACTGAAGCTGGTTTTATAGTGCTAGCCCACTGAGGTACCATGCCACAGTGAAGCATGAATATCCCACTCACACATTATACTGACTCCGAGCCGACCAGTCCAGGTTGTACCCATTAATGCCGAGCACCAGGCAGGGACCAACAAGTACCATATATTAAAGTATTTTGGTATGACACGGCTGGGGATCGAACCCCAACCTACAGAGGTGGTTAGAGCTACAAAGACAAGACGCTGATGGTTGTGTCTTGAAGCAACAGGTCTGTACGTCCAGCTATTGACACATGAACTGGCTGTAATGAAGTAGAAATCCACAAGCATCACTAGATTTCTTGGTGAAACCCATTAACATCACTAGATTCCCTGGTGAAACCCATTAACATCACTACAGATTCCCTGGTGAAACCCATTAACATCACTAGATTCCCTGGTGAAACCCATTAACATCACTAGATTCCCTGGTGAAACCCATTAACATCACTACAGATTCCCTGGTGAAACCCATTAACATCACTAGATTCCCTGGTGAAACCCATTAACATCACTAGATTCCCTGGTGAAACCCATCAACATCACTAGATTCCCTGGTGAAACCCATTAACATCACTAGATTCCCTGGTGAAACCCATTAACATCACTAGATTCCTGGTGAAACCCATTAACATCACTACACTAGATTCCTGGTGAAACCCATTAACATCACTAGATTCCTGGGTGAAACCCATTAACATCACTAGATTCCTGGTGAAACCCATTAACATCACTACAGATTCCTGGTGAAACCCATTAACATCACTTAACATCACTAGATTCCCTGGTGAAACCCATTAACATCACTAGATTCCTGGTGAAACCCATTAACATCACTACAGATTCCTGGTGAAACCCATTAACATCACTACAGATTCCCTGGTGAAACCCATTAACATCACTACAGATTCCCTGGTGAAACCCATTAACATCACTAGATTCCCTGGTGAAACCCATTAACATCACTACAGATTCCCTGGTGAAACCCATTAACATCACTACAGATTCCCTGGTGAAACCCATTAACATCACTACAGATTCCCTGGTGAGACCCATTAACATCACTACAGATTCCCTGGTGAAACCCATTAACATCACTACAGATTCCCTGGTGAAACCCATTAACATCACTAGATTCCCTGGTGAAACCCATTAACATCACTAGATTCCCTGGTGAAACCCATTAACATCACTAGATTCCCTGGTGAAACCCATTAACATCACTACAGATTCCCTGGTGAAACCCATTAACATCACTAGATTCCCTGGTGAAACCCATTAACATCACTAGATTCCCTGGTGAAACCCATTAACATCACTAGATTCCCTGGTGAAACCCATTAACATCACTACAGATTCCCTGGTGAAACCCATTAACATCACTACAGATTCCCTGGTGAAACTCACTACAGATTCCATGATGAAACCCACAAGCCTTATTAGATTCCCTGGTGAAACCCATTCACATCACTAGATTCCCTGGTGAAATCCACTACCTTCACTACAAATTCCCTAGTGAAACCAACAAGCATCACTAGATTCCCTAGTAAACCCCACACGCACCACTAGATTTCCTAGTAAACCCCACAAGCATCACTAGATTTCCTAGTAAACCCCACAAGCATCACTAGATTTCCTAGTAAACCCCACAAGCATCACTAGATTTCCTAGTAAAACCACAAGCATCACTAGTGAAACCCCACTATTCACTTTCCCTAGTGAAACCTACAAGCATCACTAGATTCCCTGGTGACACAAGCTAGCATCACTAGATTTCCTAGTGAAACCCACAAGCATCACTAAATTCCCTGGTGACACAAGCTAGCATCACTAGATTTCCTAGTAAAACCCACAAGCATCACTAGATTTTCCTGGTGAAACCCAGAAGCATCACTAGATTTTCCTAGTAAAACCCACAAGCATCACTAGATTTTCCTAGTGAAACCCACAAGCATCACTAGATTTCCTAGTAAAACCAACAAGCATCACTAGATTTTCCTAGTGAAACCCACAAGCATCACTAGATTTCCTAGTAAAACCCACAAGCATCACTAGATTTTCCTAGTAAAACCCAGAAGCATCACTATATTTCCTGGTGAAACCCAGAAGCATCACTAGATTTCCTAGTAAAACCCACAAGCATCACTAGATTTCCTGGTGAAACCCAGAAGCATCACTAGATTTCCTAGTAAAACCCACAAGCATCACTAGATTTCCTGGTAAAACCCACAAGCATCACTAGATTTCCTGGTGAAACCCACAAGCATCACTAGATTTCCTGGTGAAACCCACAAGCATCACTAGATTTTCTAGTAAACCCCACAAGCATCACTAGATTTCCTAGTAAACCCCACAAGCATCACTAGATTTCCTAGTAAAACCACAAGCATCACTAGTGAAACCCCACTATTCACTTTCCCTAGTGAAACCTACAAGCATCACTAGATTCCCTGGTGACACAAGCTAGCATCACTAGATTTCCTAGTGAAACCCACAAGCATCACTAAATTCCCTGGTGACACAAGCTAGCATCACTAGATTTCCTAGTAAAACCCACAAGCATCACTAGATTTTCCTGGTGAAACCCAGAAGCATCACTAGATTTTCCTAGTAAAACCCACAAGCATCACTAGATTTTCCTAGTGAAACCCACAAGCATCACTAGATTTCCTAGTAAAACCAACAAGCATCACTAGATTTTCCTAGTGAAACCCACAAGCATCACTAGATTTCCTAGTAAAACCCAGAAGCATCACTAGATTTTCCTAGTAAAACCCAGAAGCATCACTAGATTTCCTGGTGAAACCCAGAAGCATCACTAGATTTCCTAGTAAAACCCACAAGCATCACTAGATTTCCTGGTGAAACCCAGAAGCATCACTAGATTTCCTAGTAAAACCCACAAGCATCACTAGATTTCCTGGTAAAACCCACAAGCATCACTAGATTTCCTGGTGAAACCCACAAGCATCACTAGATTTCCTGGTGAAACCCACAAGCATCACTAGATTTCCTGGTGAAACCCACAAGCATCACTAGATTTCCTGGTGAAACCCACAAGCATCACTAGATTTCCTGGTGAAACCCACAAGCATCACTAGATTCCCTGGTGAAACCCACAAGCATCACTAGATTTTCCTGGTGAAACCCAGAAGCATCACTAGATTTTCCTAGTAAAACCCACAAGCATCACTAGATTTTCCTAGTGAAACCCACAAGCATCACTAGATTTCCTAGTAAAACCAACAAGCATCACTAGATTTTCCTAGTGAAACCCACAAGCATCACTAGATTTCCTAGTAAAACCCACAAGCATCACTAGATTTTCCTAGTAAAACCCAGAAGCATCACTAGATTTCCTGGTGAAACCCAGAAGCATCACTAGATTTCCTAGTAAAACCCACAAGCATCACTAGATTTCCTGGTGAAACCCAGAAGCATCACTAGATTTCCTAGTAAAACCCACAAGCATCACTAGATTTCCTGGTAAAACCCACAAGCATCACTAGATTTCCTGGTGAAACCCACAAGCATCACTAGATTTCCTGGTGAAACCCACAAGCATCACTAGATTCCCTGGTGAAACCCACAAGCATCACTAGATTTCCTGGTGAAACAAGCTAGCATCACTAACGATTCCCTGGTGAAACCCTTGTTCATTGATGCAAGGTCAAATTAACAAAACAAAAGACTGTTGTCTGAGATAGGTTTATTCATATATACATCAACTTGAGATAAAAACAAGAGCCACTTGGGTCGAACTATGTACAATAAATTAGTCTGTACATTGTTTTTCAAACAAGTAAAAAATGTATGAAAAGCATGGAAGTTGCAAACATGAAATAAATGCACAATCACAACAATGATTAACTGTTATAAAATGGTGTGACAAAATGTTTACAAAGTGCTACGTGCGGTTCTACTATATTGTGCAACCTCTACATGTACCTATTGGTATCATCGTGTGTATATACAGTGATACGTACAGTTATACCATAGGGTGAAACCTCCACATATTCCTGTGGATATCATTATGTATATATACAGAGTGATACGTACCGTTATACCATAGGGTGCAACCTCCACATATTCCTGTGGATATCATTATGTATATATACAGAGTGATACGAGGGTGAAACCTCCACATATTCCTGTGGATATCATTATGAATATATACAGAGTGATACGTACAGTTATACCAGAGGGTGAAACCTCTACATGTTCCTCTGTATATCATACGAATGAGTTGTAGTAAGTTTAGTCTTAAGCCACTTTTAGCAATATTTCAGCAATATCACGACGGGGACACCAGAAATGGGCTTCACACATTGTACCCATGTCGGAAATCGAACCCGGGTCTTCGGCATGACAAGCGAACGCTTTAACCACTAGGCTACCTCACCGCCCTCATACAGATGAGTACCTATGACATCACATTGTGGTTACTCTAAAACTAAGATCATGATTATGACTGAAAACAATATTATCAACCTACATAATACTGAAAAAAGGCAATTTCATGCATTTTGTGCCAAGTCTTTCAGAAACACAAGCACAATGACTTATTTTGAGACAGATCAGGTCTGAGCAAATCCAACTGAAATAGGTTACACTGAAATCCACTGTTAATTCATTTTCATGCAGCAAAATATCCTTTGTGCTGAAATGTATACATTTGTCTTTTTCTCTGATGGAAAGTCAGTACATCATACATGTACCTTGTCATTTAAGAGTGAGTGAGTGAGTTTAGTTTTTCCCCCCTTTTAGCAATATTCCGGCAAAATCTTGGCAGGGGACACCAGAAATCGGCTTCACACATCGTACCCATGTGGGGAATTGAACCCGGGTCTTCGGCGTGACGAGCGAACGGTTCAACCGCTAGGCTACCCTACCGTCCTTGTCATTTAAGAAAACACCACTTACACTGAAAACATTTTCTTAGATGTAGTGAACTGTTATCAACTGTTGAAATACCAAGGTTCAACTTTTGTGATTATCTTGCCGTCCTCACTTCATAGTTCCCACGGTAATGTACAATAATGAATTCGGTTTACATTTCAACTTACAAATAAAATCCTGTGTCCCTAAAAAATAAAACAATTTGATTTTTGTGACCGTTAATAATCATAATAATAAAAATAATAATAATAGAGCATTTGTAGAACGCTTTTCCAGGCTAAATATCCTGCTCAAATGTCAATAGAGTCAACCATTAGGTACAACACTGACATCTCTTGATTCAATCTAAGTTTGTGCATATGTTCATGAGATTCATACTAAAATATAGGATGATTCATTCTTATAATTCATCAAAAACAATGTGTATTATCTACACAACCGAAGTCTGGTGATGGCCACGTCCTGGACTTCCTTGGGAGAGGCGTCCTTCTGGTTCATATTTACATATATACACACTCTCAACAACCATAGATATAAAATAATATGCAACCTGCACAAGATATAAATAATGACTGTGATGGACTTCGGATGTCTAATGATAGCTCCAGTGTAGACTGATCCCATATATCAATTTGAACAGCAAGTCTGGTGTATATCAAAGCAAGGAATATACAATTATTGCATGGCAAGTACAGATTGCTTGGGGGAGTGGTCTCCCTTTGTTAATTTTCAAACTAGAACTTGTTCCCTTATTTCAAGCAACAAATGTTCGACAGGAGTTACCACTTCTCCACAGCTTCCACAGCAGATGTTTCATCATGTTGCACAACACAGTTACACTGTATCACTCCGTCAGGTAATAACTAGGTTATACAACACCTCATAACAATGTTATAACATTCCCGGTACATCTTCACTGGCCAGAATCTCACAACTACACCTGCATAAGGCACAGTTCTGCATAAAATGTGGAGGCAAATGTGGGTGGCAAACGGAAAATACAACCAATCGTATCTCTATTTCATTAACAGCACAAATTGCAATCTCATTATTCGGATTTACAAAATGGAATGAGTATAAACAAGTTCATCAAATGCATACTACAGACAGATGAAAATATTTGTTATCAAACTTGATTATCTTACCACCAGTATTTTGGTAGGATGGTTTTGTGAGGCTGTTACTGTGAGAAAATATGAAAACTTCATGAAAACGCTACCCGTACATTTGACAGATTTGTTAATATTTTCAACTCATTATTCCATCTACGACTGATCACAATCTGTTTTTGATCACATAACTTTCCAATTTTCTGTATTTTTGTTTTGTGTAAATGTTCATATTTTGAAGCATGAAAAGAAACATAAAGAGCGTAATTCGTTTTAAATTCAATTCAAATTATTTATTCTTAAAACATTGATATTGTTCCCTAATTTACAGAGGACCAAAACCCAGCACATTGAAGGCACTTTTCCATATAACAATGAAGTAGATGAGCTACATGACATCACAGAATACGGTCTGACCTGACAGGATTCACATAGATGGTTGTTTGATCGCATACTAGTTGGTGAGTCAATAAGGAATCATACAAGATCTGGATAACAACTTGTTTATTGCAATCAGCAATTTTCGGTTTAGATTCGTCACCATTATGAACCTAAAAGTGTTTGCGTTAAGTAACCGTGTAAGAATCTACACCAAAATGTCTCCATGGATGGCAACAGGAAAATCTATTTTCAGCTGAAAACTTATTGTGTCATCAAATGGGGTTTCAGATGAATTAAATCAGCGGAAAAATGCCATCCCTGTCTCTCTCTGAAATTAACAAGCAGTTGTTATTATCCATGAACTTGGTTGCTTCATTATTCAAACAGATGGTGTTCTGAGATTCACTTCCATTTGTTCACCATAAATACTAAGTGTAGAGTGAGCATGCTCGGCCACACTTCCAACACTGAGGGTCAGTTTTGCACAGGAGGAAAGCCCAAGTTTGTCAAACTCTTGACAATATTCATTCTCACTAGGTAAGGCGCTGACAGACCTAGTACTCCCCGTAGAGGAAAATCAGGGACCCATCAGCAGTGGATCCTGGTATAACCAAGGGAACTAACTCTGCACTGCATACTAATGCCATCTGCATGCATTTGAAAACAATGGTAGTAACTTGACTAAAGTTGGCAGCAAGGGCGGGCACTTTGTTCTGGACTAAATCATCTTTTACAACAATCAAAACATTCGGACGACAAAATGTCAAAAACCAACAAACTGATTTTACCACATGTACCTTTGTGGACTGAGAACATAAAATAATAACATTATTCACAGCTGCTTGATGGCTATAATGACCTACAACCATGTTCTGGGACATAACTATAATGGCCTACAACCATGTTCTGGGACATAGCAATAATGACCTACTACCATGTTCTGGGACATGGCTATAATGACCTACTACCATGTTCTGGGACATGGCTATAATGACCTACTACATGTTCTGGGACATAGCAATAATGACCTACTACCATGTTCTGGGACATAGCTATAATGACCTACTACCATGTTCTGGGACATGGCTATAATGACCTACAACCATGTTCTGGGACATAACTATAATGGCCTACTACCATGTTCTGGGACATGGCTATAATGACCTACTACCATGTTCTGGGACATGGCTATAATGACCTACTACCATGTTCTGGGACATAACTATAATGGCCTACTACCATGTTCTGGGACATGGCTATAATGACCTACTACCATGTTCTGGGACATAGCAATAATGACCTACTACCATGTTCTGGGACATGGCTATAATGACCTACTACATGTTCTGGGACATAGCAATAATGACCTACTACCATGTTCTGGGACATGGCTATAATGACCTACTACCATGTTCTGGGAGATGGCTATAATGACCTACTACCATGTTCTGGGACATAGCTATAATGACCTACTACCATGTTCTGGGACATGGCTATAATGACCTACAACCATGTTCTGGGACATGGCTATAATGACCTACTACATGTTCTGGGACATAGCTATAATGACCTACTACCATGTTCTGGGACATGGCTATAATGACCTACTACCATGTTCTGGGACATGGCTATAACAGCGTTGCAAACTCCCGCCTGCCCGACCGTCCGGGACGGTCTGTTTTGCGACCGGACGGTCAGTTTTAAAAAGTTGCACGCCCGATGGTCTGGCTGTTGAATCAGCGTAATTTTGTAATGTATATAATGACTAAAAACATTTAAAAACGTGTTATTGTGACAATAACCTGACATTAAAAAGTTCCCTCCTCCTATTTACCTCCTATATTTTATCTTAATCCTGAAAATTCAGGTCTGGTAACTTTCCAGCCGGTCTGGTAACTTTTGAGAGTTACCAGACCAGTTGTCTGGCCGAAATTTTGGGGAGTTTACAACGCTGGCTATAATGACCTACTACCATGTTCTGGGACATGGCTATAATGACCTACAACCATGTTCTGGGACATGGCTATAATGACCTACTACATGTTCTGGGACATGGCTATAATGACCTACTACCATGTTCTGGGACATAACTATAATGACCTACTACCATGATCTGGGACATAGCTATAATGACCTACTACCATGTTCTGGGACATGGCTATAATGACCTACTACCATGTTCTGGGACATGGCTATAACAGCGTTGCAAACTCCCGCCTGCCCGACCGTCCGGGACGGTCTGTTTTGCGACCGGACGGTCAGTTTTAAAAAGTTGCACGCCCGATGGTCTGGCTGTTGAATCAGCGTAATTTTGTAATGTATATAATGACTAAAAACATTTAAAAACGTGTTATTGTGACAATAACCTGACATTAAAAAGTTCCCTCCTCCTATTTACCTCCTATATTTTATCTTAATCCTGAAAATTCAGGTCTGGTAACTTTCCAGCCGGTCTGGTAACTTTTGAGAGTTACCAGACCAGTTGTCTGGCCGAAATTTTGGGGAGTTTACAACGCTGGCTATAATGACCTACTACCATGTTCTGGGACATAAGCATGCATGTGTTATATGCCTATGTTACCTCCATGTCAGAATACTGAGGTTTGGTTCATGGGATCTTAATAAAAAAACATGTAACCCTCCTGGGAGGGAAATACATTTCTGGGCAGGAGAAAAAATCCCTTACATCCTGCCACAATGAAAACAGGCTTATAATGGATTTCCTAGTGGGAGACAAAAATCCCTTCTATCCCATTACAAAGTTGCATGTTGTTTACAACGTCACATGGCACAGTACAACTCAATTAAAAACCTGATTTCTATCAATTTGTATGAACTTTTTTACAATGGAGGACTAAAACATGTTAGCAAGATAAATTCATTTAAGCAGTGTCAACAGGGTATATACTATACTATGGCTCGTGGTAAACATGGGATGCATTGAACCACATTCAGTACATCAGTGTCCCAGGGCACTGATAAAAGTGCCTGGATACTGATATGCATGGTTCCTCGACTCAACACAATCCTGCACACATGCAAGGGAGACAACTGTAGGACAGCATAGGTGTACCTGCTGCTGGTTCTAACAACACGTACAGTTACAAACACACACAATTGAACACATCTGATATTGTCACCCGGGATATATAACACTATATACAGCTATATACAACACTGTATTTCATCTCATACAATGTAGCAACTGAGGAGAGGGCATTATGCAGTATGTCATAATACTTAATTGGCATGTAATATAACATTGCTGGTCTTCACGATCAAATAAATAAAATCTAAAAGTTTGTCATGAATCTATGATTATCAAGTTCATTTCACAATGAAACGATTTTTTAATGAAATTATTACACTGACATGCACAACCTCTTTCTTCATCACTCCTGTATAAGTTGTTCTGTTTGGACACCTGTTACAGTTGTGTATGAGGTACAAGGAGATATAATTGTGTATAATTACCCCACCTCCAGCTGGGGATATAAGACATTCCAGGACACTGTTCCACAAAGTGACTAAGGCCATATGGATCGTAACTCCCATGCTTTAACATAGGCATATGACAATCTTAGAGCTAAGACCGCTTTGCATGTCAGTGTTTTGTTTGTTTGTTATTCAACCCAGCAATATTCCAGCTATGGCAGTGACCTGTATATATGTTTCAGTACATAATACCCTCTACAGCGGGTGGGTCCATAGTCCTCAACCAGTTCATGCTATTAGCTTATAGATGTAAATAACTGCACTCAGCAACATTCCACCTCTGCATACATTCAAATCTGGATCAGGCAATCCAGTGACTGACATCATGAGCATCGATCATAATCGTGATGCCATGACACACGATCAACAAATTCAGCAAGTCTGACCACCTGAGAGGGTTTGTCTAGTCTTTACAGTCCGCAGCAGCTAATTACATTACAGGGGCCCGATCCACAAAATGCCTAGGGGGAGAAGCACCAGAAATAGCGAAATGGCCTTCACACATTGTACCCATGAGGGGAACCGAACCTGGGTCTTTGGTGTGATAGGCGAACATTCTAACCACTAGGTCCACCACCTATAGATAACTGAACATTGCCGATCATTCGCGTCGCCTCTGGGCACTGATGTGGGCCACGTCAAAACATAATTTGAAATTACTCAGGAAATATACATGGATACATAGCTACCAGTTCCTGGCAAACTCTGGCCAATCACATCTCATTTGTTCATACAAGAAACAATCATGGGAAAGACGGAACTATCAACACAGACTATGTCACTCACTGCTTCAAATGTTAACATCGACATTTGGCAACTTTCGCCCAAGTCTACTGTTTCAGTCCACATAAAAATTGTTTGATAGTTTGATATTCTTTTGCATACATAGACCCAACACACTTCAAGTAAATTCTGTGTATTAAGATTGTCCATACAGTGCAAGGGGAAGTAACTCTCAAATCTATAGAGATATTTGTTATGACTGAGTGAATTTGATTTTGGTCATCTCAGAGGTTTTGTAGCTTTTTCATGCAGAAATATTTTCTTATCTTAACTCATCTTCAGTATTTGGAAACAAAAAGTAGAAAATTGGCCAAACTAAACAACACAAACAAAGGACGTACACAGAATTTTGTCCATATTTGACAGTTAAGTTCCATTGTTAAACTCTATCCCACACAATCAATGATACAAATTAGTGTTGGGAATTGGTTAAAATCTCATAATTGATGATTGGTTCATTACTACCGATCAATCATCGAAAATAATTGGTTAGCGTCATTTATGAAATTTGTTAATGCCCACTAAAATAAGGGGAAAAATTGTAGTTCTTCTGGGTTTTTTGGGCAAAATTTCACATCTTTAAAGGATGACTAGTAAGTTAGGAACATAAATGTCTTGGAATCTTTAAGATAAATTCAATCATGACTTGAAACGAGCTTGCAGTGCTTACAAAATGTAACAGACAAAACCAACCATGTGAAAAATATTATTAATGAAAACAAGTGTTCCAGAATTGTTTGTGTTCGATTATGAGAAATTATGATCGATTGCTTGGTCGTTTAGTCACTACGACCAATCTTCGATTATTTCAATTAATCGGACCACCACTAATACAAAATCTTATCATAAGCAGTTGATGGTCCCCAGTAGCGAGTAATGACAATGTTGCACATATACTGCAACACCCTCTCCACTGGAAAATAAGATACAGTCGCCAATGGTAACAGCTGCCTTGATGAATATAGCCATGGCAACCAGTCTCCACAACATCGTCATGTCTGATAGGTACAGGGTGCATGACCGTCACACATTTCACACGCGTGAGCAACTCAACAGAAAAACGTGCCCTGTCCTGATTACAGCCATGGCTAAACAGAATTGTCACAACATTTATTCAGAGAAGTTCAAATAATGAAAATAATACCCAGTGTCAAGCTCTGAATCAGTTCTAGCTTACAGGACAAATAGTCGAGGACCTTAGAATCTTGTGTGTTGGGTACTGTTTCCGCTTCTCCCACGTAAACTATATCACTCCAGCATCTACCACCACGCTGACCTTGAAGTACTTCTGTAAACAGAGTCTGAGCCAGGCTGTCAACAAACCTCTAAAAACAGTAAAACAGGTGCCCCCTGGAAGTCAAACATCACCCTGCACGTTGCAGTCAGGAAGCACTTGTGACTTACAATGTGTAAGTGTTGCAGCTTTGTCTCTTGTCATGAGGTACTCGACATCTAGCTGCCCGCACATCTATCCAACATTCAACACGTATTTGACTCAACAGGACAAACTCTCCTCACACTCTATGTACTTGTTAATTCAGACTGACCAGGAAACACCTCTCACACCATGGAAATGAGAACCATCACAATGGTAACCATCCCCATAGAAACATCTCTAACAGTATTCCTCTGCATATGACCTTGACCTTGACCCTTCATCGGATCTCCTTGAGTTAGCGAGTTAAGTTTTTACATGGGGAATCAAACCTTGGTCTTGGGCGTGACGAGCGGACGGTTTAACCACTAGGCTACTCCACTGCCCATGGATTTCCTTGAAACTGTATATTCTTTCACATTTTGACAGAGTGTCTTACTTCACACTTGCAGGGACCGTCAGATGTTATCGCCTCCTGTCATTTCTGATAGAATATTTTCATTGCATAATCTCGAATAGCAAAGAAAACAAGTTGATCTTCAGGGCAAACCATCATGTAGTGTTTTTTTCCAAAGTTTAAATGGTCACATGAGCTGTGATGACGCCCGGGATTAGTTGAGGTACTTGCGACACTTCTTTGAGCCACAGGAGCACGGAATCTTCACCTCCTCAATGGGGAACTTGTAGTCGTAAGTCAGCTCCTCGCCCTTGCTGATTCTGTGGCAAACAACAGGTTACATTTTACCATTAAGCTATGCATGGAAATCCTTGCATTTATCACATCACAGTGTTTGTTTTGTCACGGCAGCCTGTAATAGTGAGTGAGTTTTACACCGTTTTTAGCAATATTCCAGCAATATCATGGTGGGGTACACCAGAAATGGGCTTCACACATTGTACCCATGTGGGGAATCGAACCCGGGTCTTCAGTGTGAACGCCCTAACCACTTAGCTACCCCACAGCCCCCAGCCGGTAATATCCAGTTTGGACCACCTTCCAGTGATTGACGTCTTGAGCATCGATCTATGCAATTGATGACGTGTCAACCAGGACAGAGATGCCATCTACAAAAATCTCAAACAAAGCTTTGGATTGGTTGGTTGATTTTAATGTTGCGCTCAGCAACATTCCAGCTATATGTAAATAATCGAGTCTGGACCAGACAATCCAGTGATCAACATCATAAGCATTGATGGGACATGATGACATGTGTCAACCAAGTCAGCGAACCTGACCACCCGATCCCGTTAGTCGCCTCTTATGACAAGCATGGGTCGCTAAAGGCCATATCCCATATCTTCCCTGGTCCCACAGTGTTTGACCCTAACAGTGAGTGATTGAGTGAGTTAGTGAGTATGGGTTTTACGCCACTTTTAGCAAAATCAAATCATTCACTCCAGTATGCCAGACGTACAGTGCTTTCCAAGGACATCTGTAGAATACTTACGGTCTCATGGCAAAGATGACGATATGCTTCTTCCCGTCCACGTTGATCACCCTGGAATAGCAGTTGGGCTGGAACAAGAACAAACAACACTGAGTCACTGAATCAAGGGAGGGATAAATATGAACCTGCCCAGTCTCTAATACAACAAGCACTGTCACTAAGGTGACATAATCCCCCGACGCAAATTATCAAATCAAACTTATAAAGTAATGAAAGTTTAAGATGAAGTGAAATGTCAACAAAAACATGACTAATCAACCTCTCTTGATATCTGGCCCTTTAGTTGTTCCAACACACACATATTTTCAAGACTGACTTTGACCTTGACATGAATGTAATAGTGTATGAAATATGCAAAACTAGTACTAAAGAAATTGCTTATTGAAAAACATTCAAGAGAAGTCTTAAAAGTCTATGAAGAAAATCCAGTGAACCGTTTTTAAAATACCTTGCTGACAATTCAGGTTAACATGCTGAAATCTTCAAAGTGTCGTCGTGACCCTAAAAATTATGTGAAGGTCACCAAAATTGTCTGGGCCCTGCACCTTCCCTAGATAAAGCTTGGTGTTAAATATGAAGAAAATCCAGTGAACGGTTCTTGAGATAGCTTAACATGCAGGTAAAATGTTCTAGTCCCCTTATGACCTTGAAAGGAAGGTCAAGGTCACCAAACCTGAGTTGGACCTTTCTTATACTGTGATGAAACTAGGTACCAAATATGAAAAGAATCTAGTGAACGGTTCTTAAGATATTCCAATTCCTACGTAACGGACGGACGGACGGACGGAGCCTAATACTATATCCCCCGCTTCGTGCTAAACGTGCGACGGGGGATAACTAGCAGAGGTTGTTGGGGAGTATTATTTGAGCTGATGAATCACACCAAGACCCGTCTACTCACCTCACAGGAATGGCTGATAAATATGAACCTGCCTAGTCTTCTCATACAAGCAGAGTTTGGGGAACAACATTTGAGCTGATGACCCACATCAGTCTACTCACCTCACAGGAATGGTTGATAAATCTGGCAGCGCTGCCGTGCATGGTGGCGTCTACCACCTCAAAGTCGTCGATACGGAACATGTAGCATCCGATACCCTGAAACAAGTGGAGAATGTCAGAATAGATCTGAGGTCTGCATCTGTCACACACATATAACAGTGTGGAGGCAATGACTTGTCTGAAGTCATGTATAATTTCATCGAGAGTCTTGTCAGAGTGTGTGTGCATGTATGCGAGTGACTGTGTGTGTGTGAGAGAGAGTGAGTGAGTGAGTTTAGTTTCATGCCACACTCAGCAATATTCCAGCTATATGGCAGCGGTCTGTAAATAATCGAGTCTGGACCAGACAATCCAGTGATCAACAGCATGAGCATCGATCTGCGCAATTGGGAACCGATGACATGTCAACCATGCCGAGAGAGAGAGAGAGAGAGAGAGAGAGAGAGAGAGTAAACAAAGGTGTGCGATAAATGAGAGGGTGGCTGGGAATTTGTCGGAGTCATTTAATTCTTATTGAAAGATTGATTAGGGGAGGGGCATGGAGAAAGGGATTTGCAAGGGGGACTGGACAGGGGTAGAGGAAAGCATGGTGCTGAGAATTCTGAGGTATGGAGTGAGTGAGTGTATGCATGCTATAGTGAATGACTGTGTGTTTGTATATGAGTTGTACAGTGCCAGCCAACAGAGATATCATGTTGCAGTTTTTTAACTCAAATACCCTACTCAGACGCAGTGTGCTGATTCCACACATGCCAGTCCTTGTTTACACCTTTGTTGCCAGCCAACAGTCTGGGTAACAACAAGTACGTCTTCAGGGTAGATGCGGCCACCGACCTTGAGCTCTCTGGGCTAAACTTTCAAGCTGTAAATAATTTCCACACAATATTTTCCTGAGTCTGCTTACCTTGCTCTCGTAATATTTCTCTCGCTTGTCTGTGAGGGAAGAACGAATTACCTCCCCTGCATATTCGATTACCATCTCACCACTGTCGATGTTGCGCTTGCAGAAAAGCCCTCGGCCATGAATGTGGGACCTAGAATAGACATAATAGGTCATCACCAAGATAATAAAGCTGGTATGGAAATAGGTCACAGATCAACTGATAACAACAAGGGCAAACTGAAACAAACAAGGGCAAAGTGATATAAACAACAGCTTAACACAAGAACAAATTGATTAAAAACAAGGGCAAAGCAATAAAACAGGGTCAATCTGATGAAAACAAGGGCAAACAAACTTAACAAATGAAATCCGAAATGGTTTTTGATCTTTTAGTTGTTGATCGTGCGTGTTTGCATGGCTTTGGTTTAATTCCACTTTTAGCAATATTCCAGCAATATCACAGCGGGGGACACCCGAAATGGGCTTTACACATTGTACCCATGTGGGGAATCGAACCCGAGGCGTGATGAGCCAACACTTTAACCACTAGGCTAAAGAAGCTAGCAGTGACACAACTACTCTGAACAAATCACCTGACATAAATCACAGGCATGCATCGCTTATCTCACCTGTACACTCCAACAGCCTCCTTCGCATGCTCCTGCAGCTTGCGGAATCTCATCGCCATCGGCAGGTCCATGCTGGTGGCTCGTCTGGAAACACCAACATGGCAACTATGGTGAAGGTCTGTTATTATAGTAAATCATACCCATGTTTGTTCTTTGCACTATCCCAACAGTCCTTCCTGGATTCTGCGATTGCAGAATATATCGTGGAATTACTTTTTGATGCAGAAAAACGTATGGTCTGCGGAATGCAGAATACCTGCACAATTATTTTGAAAGTTGGATCAAGATTGACTATCAACCAAAACGAAAAGAAGGGGTAAATGTCAAAAGTATGATCGGTTACACAAACGAACTGAGAAATTTGTTATAACGATATTTTCAAAATATTCATGAATAAAGATGAATTATTCATCAGGTTATATTTTCTTAAGCACAACAATATTATTATCTGAATTTGACAATGCAATTATTTTCACAAAATCGATCTCTTTGTAAAATTGAAATTGCATTATTTTGTGTTTATTAACAGCAGAATTTTGAAAAATGGGATGCAGAATTTACCTAAATTTGCCACGGAATTATTAAAAATTCAGTGTGGAGTCACGGTGGGACTGATGCCAACCACCTACCAGTAGTCAAATGGGGCAGGTAATTTGGACTACGCAAACCAGTGATTCGTGTGTGATGACAGACTAAGCAACAACAAATTCATTGAGTCTAGACACTGTTCCATCCTGAAAGTTCACCACCAACAGTAAAGTCGGTAACGTCTGTAAGCAACCAGGGGAGAAAACTCCCATCACTTCCTGTATAATCTGGCCACATTAACACTTGCCATTTTACAAGCTTATCACTAATTCGATGACAATGACAATAGCTACAAAAAAATAAAGTCTACATACGCATACAAAAATCAGCAAAAATCCTGAACACCTGAGTCACTTCTTATGTCTAGCTCAGGTTGTTAGAAACAAAATCTGACCCTCAATAACAACCAGGGATGGAAATAACTTTAAAATTGCTAGTGTACTCCGGTACAGTGGCACATGTAAAATCACTTGCCCTGACAATTTTTCCACTATACCAGCCGTTTTCTTGTTGATTCTTTAAATAAACAATATATTTAACATTGGAAAGTCAACTGGACACCGGTACAGTGTGATATACAAATTTGCTTGCCCGACAGTAAAAAACACTGGACTCGGACGTCGGGCAATGGGTTATTTCACCCCTGACAACTGGGGTCATATTGCCTTCCTGATAGTATGCCATCGATTTCTCTTGCAGCCAGGATAGTAAGACCAAACTATGGTATACAACAATACCACATGTGTGCGATGACTGGCACTGAACACCTGGTGTCATCAATGATGTTCAGTGAACCATTCGGCTGTTCTGTCCCATACACCAATCTGTTTTTAAGGATAATAAAGACTGGATATTCTTTTGCTCGGATGTTTTATAATTGATTTTGAACACCTGGTGTCGTCAATGATTTTCAGTGAACCATTCAGCTGTTCTGTCCCCGTACACCAATCTGTTATTAAGGATAATAAAGACTGGGTATTCTTTTGCGCGGATGTTTTATAATTGATTTTGAACACCTGGTGTCGTCAATGATTTTCAAGGAACCATTCAGCTGTTCTGCCCCGTACACCAATCTGTTATTAAGGATAATAAAGACTTGGTATTCTTTTGCGCGGATGTTTTATAATTGATTTTGAACACCTGGTGTCGTCAATGATTTTCAGTGAACCATTTGGCTGTTCTGTCCCATACACCAGTCTGTTTTTAAGGATAATAAAGACTGGGTATTCTTTTGCGCGGATGTTTTATAATTGATTTTGAACACCTGGTGTCATCACGGATTTTCCGTATAATCTTCACAGCTATTTTGTGACCTCGAACTAAATGAGATCTATTGTAAGTGGGTATTCTTTTGTACTGATGTTTTACAACAGTTGTCATAGTGACCACCTACCTGGCCGACTTGTGAATCATCTCGACGTTCTGTTGGCCCGCGTCCGACATGGGCTTGCTTCGATACCGGGACATGAGGAAGCTGAACATGTCGTACGGCTTACGGGACATGAACGGCTCGCCTCGCACACACCCACTGGGGTTCTCCGCAGGTTCCTGGAGGGAAGCAATGGCTGGTAAGTGTGACAGTACTACAAGCAACGATCCTATCCTACAAGACACAATGCTTTCCCATCACTGCTCTACTGACAGCCATTTCCATAATTCATTACCGTTCATGATCAACAACTGGGACGGTGGGGTAGCCTAGTGGTTACAGCGGGTCGCTTATCACGCCGAAGACCCGGGTTCGATTCCCTACATGGGTACAATGTGTGAAGCCCATTTCTGGTGTCTCCCGACGTGATATTGCTGGAATAGTGCTAAAAGTGGCATTAAACCACGCAAGCACGCACGATCAACAACTAAAAGATCAAAAACCTTATATAAGAATTGACTTTGAGTTCATTGGAGCAAGAACCTTTATAGAGTATTGATTAAAATGTATGACCCCTACATAAACTCCTATTTCATTACCTGTGAAGGTCCCAGTTAGAACTGGCCTTCAGTAACCCATGATTGTCATAAGAGTCGACTAACGGAACAGCCAGGTGTGCGAGTTGTATGTGTGAAATTGAAATTTCACTGCACGTTTGTTGATTACCTGGCTGTTCTACCACCTGCGGTCCCACTCGTAAGAAATAGAGAAAAGTGACATCAAAATAATGATCGTTTGTTAAACAACTTTTATATTCTGGTGTCCAAAATTATGAGAAAATTAATCGGAGTTGGTCTGTCGATTTCATGTGACTATCCAAAATTTGGTTTTGTTGCAATTATAAGATTTTGTGTTAGTGAGCAATTCATCGGTCTAAAATGAAGTCAAACGAACTACATTGAACCTGTGGCAATTACATCATCACCTATCATTTGGCAGCTCTCCTCACCCTGCTTCAGCCAAGCCCCTGCCCTGATCTCCCACCCAGCTCCAGCCACGCCCCTGCCCCACCCATGCCTGTCTCCCCCAGGGCTTACCTCCTCCTGCTGCTCCACCTCGTGCTGGAAGAAATGGAAGTTGTACTTGTGGCAGTGCTGTGCCCCGAACAACTGTTCCACCAGGTACACCACCGTGCTGTTGTTGACACCGAACATGCTGGCACTGTTCATACCAGCGTACGACAACGCCTTCAACCTGGCAGCAGCTCGGGCATCCTGTACTTTCTCCGTCACCTGCCGCCATGCATCTGAAGAATACACAGCCCCATTGTACAGGATTATAATTATGTTGTTGTTTAATGATCTCCTCAGCAATTTTCCAGGTACATGACTGCAGTCTATAAATAATAACATCAATCTATGCAACTGGGATACGCTGACACATGTCAATCAAGTCAGCGAGCCTGACCACTCGATCCTGTAGATCGCCTTTTACGACAAGCATGGGTTACTGAAGGCTAATTCTAACCCAGATCTTCACAGGTTACAGAATAATCATTATTACATATACTTGGGAGAAATAGGGGTAATAATATTCATTTCCCGAGTGATCTATTTATTACCACACTAAATCAGGTCTACCCATCATTGGATAGAAAAGATACCTTGTCTTGTTTCTGAATTCTACCATGTTAGGAGACTACCTACAAAGCTAAAACATAATTCTCTCTACATTGAAAACGCATAATTATGGGAATTTGTGTCACACCCTGCTAGGTGAGGTGAGGTGAAATTGGGTTTAACGTCGTGCTTGAGAATATTTCGCTCATATGACGACGTGCATGCGTGTGTATGTGTATGTGCGGCTGCTTGTGCTAGCTCAGACTGAAGCTGGTTTTATAGTGCTAGCCCACTGAGATACCATGCCGCAGTGAAGCATGAATACCCCACTCAGACACATTATACTGACTCCGAGCCAACCAGTCCTTGTTGTACCATTAATGCCGAGCGCCAGGCAGGGACCAACAAGTACCATATTTTAACGTCTTTTGGTATGACGCGGCAGGGGATCGAACCCCGAGACCTTCCGCTCTCTGGGCGATAGCTCTAACCACTACACCACGGAGGCGGTTACACCCTCCTAGGGAATATGTACATCCTGTCAGCCATTAAATATATACAGGGATAAGCTGACTGGTGTTTTGGATTTGCTATGTATGTAATTTGTGAAGATCCAGGTCAGAACTGGTTTTCAGCCACCATGCTTGTCGTAAAATGGGACTAACGGGATCGGGTGGTTAGACTCGCCGACTTGGTTGACACATTGTATCCCAATGGAATAGATGAATGCTCATGACATCAATCACTGGATTGTCTGCCCCAGACATTATTAATTAAAGACCACTGCCATATAGCTGAAATATTGCATTTAACAGTGAGTTTAGTTTTACGCCGCTTTTAGCAATATTCCATCAATATCACGGGGACACCAGAAATAGGCTTCACACATTGTACCCATGTGGGGAATTGAACCCGGGTCTTTGGAGTGATGAGCCAACCCTTTAACCACTAGGCTACCCCACCGCCCCCATTTACAACAAACAAACAAAGCAGTGTACATATATCCCATGCTCACCCTCCATTGTCTCGCCAGAACACTGGAAACCATCATCGCTTGTAATCTCAAACATGAGTCGAGGCTCGTCCTTGGGCTTGGCTTCTGATCTCCGTCGATGATTGGTGATGTCAAAGAACGGCATCATGGGAGTTTCGCGCACCTCCTCCTCCATCTCTGGCTGAGGCAGTGACATCACTTCCTTCTGGTGGTGAATCATGGGATGGCTTATGGCACTCGCTGCTGAAAACAACCAATACAGTTCTGGGAGTGGACACTAACTTGATCATCTTTTTTGTCACCATCCTAACAGTTGACAAATTTCGACAGTCGACTTAGTTTTTTCGGTTTAACACATTTTGAAAATGGGTAATAATCTACACCAAAACGCAGGTCTTATCACTCCATACAATAAACAAGAACATGTTATCCATAATGTCGTATAATTTATCATCCCCTCACCAACTTCTAGAATCAAACAATCTGTATTTTTTACTCATTTAACTACATAAGCCAAATACTTTTACTTTCATCCTCATAACTCCAATGGTTAAAGCACTTACGTTTGTATTTTTCATGGATGTTTCTGGGGCGCTGTGGGCTTTTCCGTTTCTTGGCTCCAATGGCCTTCACCCCTACTTTGACACCTGCCATGTTCTTCTTGTAGATCTTTCCAACCTTGATGGCAGACTTCTTGACCTTGGCCCCTAGTCGGTTCTTCACCATTTTGGATGAGAAGTTTGGGACATGTTCGCCTCCTGACACGGACAAATGTTTGATGTGAGTTGGAGCCTTTGTGTATGTATGGCCTGCATCGATGTGGGATGTTGGTGTTGTGCTTGCCGAGGGTGACGTTTCTTGCTGCATGTGATCTTCGAGAGAGTTGCAAATGTTTTTTGAGATCTGTCCTTGAATAATACCGTTTTTTTCAGGACTGAGACCAAGGTGATGCTTGACTGCCGTCAGGGTAATGCTACTTGCTGCCTTCTTTCGATGGAGGATGGTTGGTTTGAGGATTTTCTTGAGAACCGTCAGTCGGCTGTTGACAGCAGAGCCTGGTTTGTGGACCCCAACGCTAGGCTTGTGGACAATATGGTGAGGTCGAACAGTGGATTCTTGGAGGGACGCTGAGCAGACAGACCCACTCTTGATTGGACTGTCGTTCAGGATGTTCCGGAGGTTTGGTGAGCTCACTGTGACCTTTGTGCTTCCTGGAGAGGTCGTGATGGCAGGGTTGACAGTCTGCTTGTTTGACGGAAGGATCTTTTTCAACATGGACAAAGCTTCAGAATGACTACATACAACCGTCTTGCACCCGTCGGGCAGATGTCTGATGAGGTTGCTATGGAGGATGGTGTCCGCCCTGGAGTGGACCACATTGATTACAGGGTTGGGAGGTGGAGAGATATGGGAGGGGCCAGGGAATGGCTGGTGAAGCACTCCAGTAGACTGCACGACATTTTGGTTCACAATGGGCCCCTTGTTCAAGACAGATCCAGAAACCAGGTTCATGATTTGCTGCGTCTGCTGTGGAGTGAGTGAGGGAGTCAAGACGGGCGACGCCTGGGATACCGATACGTATGGCTGGGGAGGAGTCTTGGGGTCCAACAAGAAGCTGCCCATGTACTCAATCCCTCCCTGATGCTGCTGTTGGAGGTTGAGGCGGGACACAACGCTGGCCTGCTGTGGAGTCAACTGACTGGGAAGGAGGTTCCCTAGCTGCGAGATGAGATTTGGAGGCAGGACCTGCTGGCTCGGAGGAACAATGACATTTGAAGGGCTCTGTTGTTGAGCAAGTAGTCCCAAGGTTGGGTTTGACTGCAGCAGAGTTGCAGGACTGGCTGAAAGGCTAGTTCCGAGGATGTTGGTCTGATTGGTGTGAATGATGCTGGGTTGGTTCATCTGGTTGATGATGCTGGGTAGTGTAGTTCTTTGGAGGAGTCCTGGAATGTTGGGGATGATGTTCGGACCCTGATCCAGTGAGAACGTGTTGATTGACTGCTGGGGGCTGGTGTTGATGGTTAAAGGCTGAGGTATCTGAGGGTGTACTGCTTGCGACGTTGTCTGTAACATTCTGGAATGGCTCATCTGAACTACAGCATTCTCCAGTACATTTGATGTGTGGACTCCAGCGAGAGGTGGACTCCCAATGATATTCACATTCGGCTGAGGTTGGAAAGCTTCAAAAATATTCCGCTGTTGAGCTGATGTGCGTCCAATGATGTTAGAGTTGTCTCCCCCTGGTGGAGGGATGGTAAGCGGTTGAGGAATACTTGGGTGAGCTGCAGATCTTCCCATCGGATTCAAAAGATTAGTGATTGTTGAAGGCATACATTTTGAGACATGTTGGGTAGCTGGCTCAATAGACTTACTGACCTTAACATGATTCTTGTGCTTGGTGTTATGTGTTCTTGGTTTGCATGTATCCTTGGATACCTCGCATCGCTTATCTGCAGGGTGAGGCCCCGAATCTGATCTTCCCTCTGTGTCAGTTTGGGCAGACATGTCTTTTTCAGGAATGTTCTTTGCATTTGGAGGATAAACCATGTAATACTGAACCTGTTTCGTACTTTTTTCCTTGTCCATGAAGTGGGCACACTGTTCTGAAGAACCTTCGTCCCTACTCTTCCTGCGTCTAAGATCAACCTCGAACTCCCCGTGGGGGATACTTCGAGATCCTTGCTCTACACTCTTCACATTTGACACGTCTGCCTTTTTCACATTCTTGTCGTCTGCCTTCTTCACATACTGCTTGGCCTCTACCTTATTGATGTGTGTGGCATGGTCTAAAGCCTGAGAGTTAACCCTGATCTCTGCAGGTTTCGGGAGTATTTTACCCTCCAGTATCTCCACCACCTTGGACACATCTCTCTTCAACACTGAGGACACCGCTTCTGCAGACGTGCCTTCAGGGCAGACAGCAGGAATGCTCCTCACCTCATCAGTTACACAGGCACTGTCCAAGGGGTCCTCAATGTCAATGTCTGTTATCACATCATGTGGAGATACTGGCAGCAGTTCATCAGCAGCTTTGCTGTTAAATACCGTCTTCTGGACCCGAGGAAATTCATCACAAGAAATAGATTTTGGATCTGAACATTTCGGGACAGATTCTGAAGAATTTTCAACAGAGTTTGCAGTTTCTATCAGCTTCTGATCTAAAGTACCTACTTCATCACTTGTGTGTGTACCCAACTGGTCTGTTTTGCATGGTGAAGGAATCGGTATGTCAATTAGATCTCCTTTCTTGTTCTTTAACATTCCAGTGACCTCACACAATCGGAACTCAGGACTCAAGCTCTCGTCCTTCTGCAGTCTGATATTTGTTGGAGTCTTGATCCCAACGTCTTCGCCCACTTCCATATTCTCCATGGATGTGCTTTGCTTCTTGGGTCTGCCTCGGCCCCTTTTAGGAGTCACATGAGTTGGAGAAAGTTCCGTATTTGCTTTCCTGGATTCAGGAGACAGTTGGTTGTCCATCTCGTTCTCTGATTCACCTTTCTTGTTTGGAGAAAGTGGATCGCTTCGCCTAGAACGCCGTCCACGACCTCGTTTCTGTGGAGGTTCTTGACTTTCAGGGGAGACAACTTTCTTTGATTCGGAGGCATCAGGTGGACTTAACAAACGTTTTGATGATCTACCACGTCGGACAGGTTCATCCTGCTTGGATTCTTCCCCACTTTCACACAAGTCCACAACATCGGGTAATTTCTCCTTCACTGGAACAGTTTTATTTTTGGGTGGCCTTCCTGGTCTTCTCTTCACAGGAGTCGTATCATCTTTATCAGTCTTGTTGTACTTAGAAAATTCACTTGCTTTACTGATGTCAGTCAGCTTGACAATACAATCCTGGCTGTCTACAGATCTGTACCTGGACCGGACAGGATACCTCGTCTTGGGTTCCTCATCCTCTCGTAGTCGGTTATCATCTTCCTCCTCTTCACTTGTGCTCACCTCAAAGTCACAGTTCTGGACATGAGTGTTGAAGCTTTCCTTTGTTCGATACAACCTCTTGCACGTGAGACACTTAAACGGTCCTTTCACACCTGGACTGCTTTTTTGCCAGGCTCTCAGCTTTAATTTTGCGTGCAATCTTGTCATGAAGTGGCAGTTCTTCTGACACGGGTTCAGCAGTTTGTCTACCTGAGTCTCCACCATCGCCCAGTCTTTGACTTGTGCGTCTCAATGGGTAAGTCTTCAGGGGGCCACAGCCCTTCTTCACAGATGTCCTATTGTGAACTTCGGTCTTGTCTTCGTTACATGCATCATCTGGAATCTCAGAAACATTTCTGGTCATTTTGTTCATCTCCAACTTGACAGTGAACTCCTCAGAACTGTCCTCAGCATCCACATTCCTGTCTTCCGACTCGGCATCCCACTCCTGTTCGACCTTCACATCTTCAACACTTATGTCCATCTTATCACCAGCCACTTCATGCGCCAGAAGTCCGGATTCTGTGAACTGCCCTGCACAATCCTCAACTCTCACACCACCTTTCTCTTGATACTGGGATCCTACGTCATCACCATCAAGGACACCGCAGTCCTGTTCAACTGGCTTGGCAACTTGATCATTGTCAGCAGCAACTCGTTTAACTCGCTCAGGTGTGGTCATTGTCACAGGTAACTTCATACCTGAAGATGTCTCTTCTTCCATGTCAGCAAGATGTGATGTTTCTGGACACACTGACAACCTTGGATGAGGAACTTCCACAATGTCCTCCACCTCCTCCTTGATCTCCTCCTTGACATCCTTCTTGTCCTCCATCACATCATCCAGGTTGATTTTCCAGCCAATCAGCAGTCCCCGTTTGTAGATGGGGACACGTTCTTCATGGTGCTCAACTATCTTCCTATCAATGACACCAGTTGCTTCCCTCTTGTGTCCAGGGGTTGGTGGACTCCCTGTCGGACTCCTGGCAGGATTTCTGGAAGGACTTGCCCCAGGAACCTTTGTCTGACCAGTGTCATGATTCTTTGAAGGACTTGCTTCAAGATTCTTCAAAGGGCTTTCCTCAAGGTTCTTTGAAACACTTGCATCAAGATTCTTCAAAGGGCTTTCCTCAAGGTTCTTTGATTGACTTGTCTCAAGGTTCCCAGATGGACACTTTGCAGAATTTCCCGAAGGAGTTGTCTCAAGGTTCCCAGAAGCACTTGCCTCAAAATTCTTTGATGGACTTGCCTGAAGATTCTCAGGAAGGCTTGACTCAAGTATCTCAGAAGATCTGGCCTCCAGGTTCCCTGAAGGACTTCCCTCAAGAGGCTGAGAAGGATGAGTTTCAGGATTCTCAGGACAAGTTTCAGGATTCTCAGGACTCATGGAAAAAGCCGTTACAGAACTTTCAAGGTTCTCAGAAGTATTCATAAGTGGTTCAACAGGATTCAAAACCAGATTTTGGGTAGAAGAATCAGGAACTCCTTTGTCAGGAACATTTGAAACATTTGTCATATTATCCTTGACAGATGCAGCAGGAGTTTCATTAAGATTTGGTGGAGGAATAACTTGTGTGACATCAGGTTTAGATGTAACTTCTGTAGAAGGCATCCCTTCTGTTGTTTCTGAATCAGAAAGTACATCAGATGCGTCAAGCTCTATTATTCTCTCTTCATCATCCCTTTCTTTTGTTTCTGCATCAACAATTTTTTGCTTATCGTCTTCCATTTCCATTGTCTCCAAAGGCTTACTTTCTTGGCCTTCTTTTTCAGACTCACAAGTGGTATGCATGGTTACATCCTCATTCACCTGTTCGCCAACAGCAGCATCCTCAGCCCTGATTGGTTCTTCCTCCCTCTGATCATCTACTTCCATCTCTCCTTCATCTTTGCCATCTTTTTCTTTACCCTCCTTCTGTTCCTCTTCACCTAGAATGTCCTCATCCTGAACAACACCTGCATCCTCATCGAGGGCAGCTTGAGCCAGGAGCAGTGCCTCCTCCTCCGAGATGTCAGGGTTGTCCGTCATGATGACAACTGTCTGCCCATTGTTGCTCTCCAGAATCTCTGGCGGAACGCTGTCAAGAACCTGCTGTGCAATCTCTTGCTCTGGAGACAGAAGTAGAGGGTCATTTTCAAGGTCACTTGGTCCAGTTTCAAGGCCATCCCGTTCTGCCCCATCAGGAACATCTGGAGTCGATCCTACCTCCTTGTTTTCGTCATCCTCAAGAACGATCACATCAGAGGGCTCATGAGTGAGATCTACAATGGGAGGTGTCTTATGGGAAGTAACAGATATTCTGATTGGTTGATCAGCTCCTAAACTATAACCAGATTTGACCTTGACCCGTATTGGCATGGAAGCTACAGAAGCTGGCCTTGGTGCTGGAGACGTGGAGATCGTCTGAGATGGTTTGGGGCCATCTTTTTGTGTACGGCTGAATATCACATGAAGAGGAACGTTTGGTTCTAGCCATCGTTGGAGGGGATGTTGCTCTAAATGTCCGGTCTGCACTGTCAGCTCTCTTACCCGACTTCCAAGCAGCCTCATTTAGTCTGTCAACAATCTTACAAAGGTTTCCAAACTCGTCATCTGCTGGTTTCTGTGGAGGCTGTTTCGGGCTGACTTGCCATGTATTTCTCCATGTCAGCTTTACTGAGGTATTTTAATGTATTGGGTGAAAGTAAGTTCAGATCAAACTTCGGCTGCGGTTCCGACACCGGTTCTTTCTGTTGACTGGGAAGATGAGAAGATGAAGGCTGGCTTGGGGAGACAGATACGCTCCTACTGTGCGAGGCCATGTAGATCCTGCTGCATGGGCGTACGACGGATGTGGAGGCCAGGTCCCTTGCTGTTACCTTGGCAACAGAGGTCTCTGACATGATGGAAACGTTGGTGTTGGAAGTGGGGCTGAGCATGTGCAGCAGACCCAGAGCATCTGGAGAGAGCTGATCCATGGGGACAAAGTCAGGATGGGTCTCATCATGGATGATCCTCATGTCGCTGATCTTCACCTCGGGGCTGGCAGGGTTGGGTCTCATCTCAACAATCCGACATGTGTACACACATCGCCGCCGAGCATCCTGGGTACTCCAATACACTCGCGTACATCTGAAACAGAATGATCCCTGTATGCTTGTTCCACGGAGTGATTGAGTTTAGTTTTACGCTGCTCTCAGCAATATTCCAGCTATATGGTCATGGTCAAAATATAGAGTCTGGACCAGACAATCCAGTGATCAACAGCATGAACATTGACCTACGCAATAGGGATAGGATGACGCGTCAACCAAGCCAGCGAGCCTGATCACCCGATCTCATTAGTCGCCTCTTACAACAAGCATGGGTTACTGAAGATCAATTCTAACCCGGATCTGTATGCTTGCTGTAACAAACTGGCTTTCTATATTACACAAAATGACTAAATAAAAAGCCACTGCCAGATAAGGCGAGTGATGCATCAATAGAATCTTGGGATATTTATACAACCTTATACAACTATTGATGAGGATTATCAGATACATCCGATATATTTAAATATACACTTCACATACGAAAATCAGTTTTATTTACAATAGAAAGATATAAAATATCCCAGCCGAAAGATTAGTTTATAACCTGAGTGAGTTGGCTTTATGGCAGCTTTGAAGAGTTGATAAGTGGTTATAGTGGTACACAACCTGAGTGACTTGGCTTTATTGTTGCTTTGAGTAGTTTATAAATGTTTGTAGTAGTTTGTAGCGAGTTAAACTTTTACATCGCATCGGCAATTTTGCAGCCATATAGCAATGTAGCAGTTTATAACCTCAGTGAGTGAATGCTATTTGTAACAGTGAGTGAGTGAGTGAGTGAGTTGGGTTTTACGCCGCGTTTAGCAATATTCCAGCAACAGCATGGCAGGGGGACACTTGAAATGGGATTCACACGTTGTACCTGTGTGGGGTATTGAACTCTGGCCTTTGGCATGACAAACAAACGCTTTAACCACTAGGCTAGCAACCCCCACCCCCACTTTGAACAGTGTTCTAGTTCTGTTACACCATGTATGGGAGGAGACAGGAGATGAAATCTGTGAGGAAAACCCGTGGTGATGCAGGTGCTTGACGTTTCTGGTGTGCCCAAGGTTTGTTACTCTGTACGATGAAATGAATTGCCCTGGGCCACCCGTGCCCAGACATTAACCGTAACAAATTATCGATACTTAACCACTTGTTCACTATTTCCAATACCATGATAGCGAACAAGACTATAAGATCCATTACTATACTCAGTCCTCAACAATAACCTGCCTGTTCACAACACAACTTCCACAGACTGAACCAATACATTGCATGCAAGACTTACATGAAGTCTATTGGGAGGAGGCAACCCTTGACGTCCGACAGCGGCCCCAGGTACCCTAGACTCTCAATGGTACATGAACCTGAAACATACAGTATGTGTCATGTAGTTTGTCTGCTGATTACCATTGCAACCAGTGTGCGAAACAGCCACTGGCCCGCTAGCCTGTGGCTAGTAAATATCCAGTCGGGCCAGTAAATTTCCAGTCACTTGCCCGACTGGCTATATATGTCATTTTGTAAATATATCACTCTCCGACTTGTTAAGTTATAATACACTTTTAAATCATGCAAGATTATGGCCTGATAAAAACGTTCATCATACTAGCAGTGTAATGATGAAACCCGTGTCATGTCGACAATATCTTATTCTTATCTATTTTTGTAATCTGTTGCTTAGTTTCTACATTCTAATTTCGGGCTGGTGAATTATTTTGTGGGCAAGTAACTTTCAGGTATAACTAGCCTGACTGGCTAGCAAAATTTGGATACTATTTCTCACACTAATAGCAACCTACAGCCTGTAACATTCACACTAGATCATAACAATTAAACTGTGCCGACAACATGTAATAATCCAATTACCCTCAATCACTAATGAGGGCAAACACTGCTGTTTCTACATTTCTGGTACAAATTGGAAACTGACAGAAAACCATTGTGTTTCAATGAAGAAGGACAAGATACGAAGGACTAATGCAACAGTATTATGAGACTGGTTTAACAAAAACATTTGTTTTGTTTGTTTGTTATTTAATGCTGCACTCAGCAATATTTCAGCTATATGGCTGTGGTCTGTAAATAATCGAGTCTGGACCAGACAATCCAGTGATCAACAGCATGAGCATCGATTTATGCAATTGGGATACGATGACATGTGTCAACCATGACAGCGAGAATGAAAATGCAATTCTGTTAGTTGCCTCTTACGAATAAAACCATGAGGGAACAATAAAACTGTCAACCAAGTGAGTGAGTCAGTTATCCAACGCTTTTAGCAATATTCCAGCAATATCACAGCAGGGGAAACCAGAAATAGGCTTTGTACATTGCACCCATGTGGGGATTTGAAGCCCAGTCTTCAGCATGACAATCGAACACATTTTCCACAAGGCTACCACCACCCGTCAGCCAAGTCACGGCATCTTGTCACTAACATCTTTTAGGTAAATGCATATCTTACCGATGAGGATGTTGAGGGTGGAGGGGGTGGACGCCCTTGTTCCACGTCTTCTTCTGGTAGCGGCCCTTGGTGTCAATACACACCCGCCTCAGCACCCGGAACCCATCTTCCTCCACCAGCTGAAGCAAAACGTCAAGCAAGATAAATGGTTGTGTTCAGAGAGATTTGAATCTATTCCTCAGTGCTGAGAACCAATTCCAGTTTCCATACCTTGTTGGTTTTCTATCTTAATGTCAGTATACCAAAAGATGTTAAAATATGGTACTTGTTGGTCCCTGCCTGGTGCTCGGCATTAATGGTACAACAAGGACTGGTCGGCTCGGAGTCAGTATAATGTGTCTGAGTGGGGTATTCATGCTTCACTGCGGCATGGTATCTCAGTGGGCTAGCACTATAAAACCAGCTTCAGTCTGAGCTAGTACAAGCAGCCGCACATACACATACACACGCATGCACGTCGTATATGAGCGAAATATTCTCAAGCACGATGTTAAACCCAATTTCACCTCACCTCACCTTAATGTCAGTATTGTAAGTCATCAACTGAGTGCATTACATTTAATTGATTCATTTTCATTTACAATTTTATTGATATGAACAATAATCATACCGTTACATATCAGCTTCTGTTGGCCAATTAATTCTATAAATAATATATGGATCAAATGGGAGTGAGTGAGTGAGTTTAGTTTTACGCCTCACTCAGCAATATTCCAGCGATATGGCAGCGGTCTGTAAATAATCGAGTTTGGACCAGACAATCCAGTGAACAACAGCAGGAGCATTGATCTGCGCAATTGGGAACCGATGACATGTGTCAACCAAGTCAGCAAGCCTGACCACCCAATCCCGTCAGTCGCCTCTTACGGCAACCATAGTCGCCTTTTGTGGCAAGCATGGGTTGCTGAAGACCTATTCTACCCCCGGATCTTCACGGGTCGGATCAAATTGGAATAAATATTAGTAATTTTACTCTTTATTCATGAGTTTGGTAAAAAAATAAAATTTCTCTGTAGTTAGTTTCAAGTGTCTTCTAACTGTCGCCATTGTTATTTTTAGCTGTACCCTATGCTCACAGGTTTTACATTCAGAACACAGTTGACAAACTTTCACATTCTCCCTCAACAGCTACTTGATAGAATTGGTGGGTTTGCACTCAGTAACTTTCTGTAAATATTCAAGTCTTGACCAGACAATCCAGTGAGCATCGTTCTACACAATTGGGATACAATTACATGTGTCAACCAGGTCAGTGAGTCTGACCACCCGATCTCATTATTCGCCACTTATAACATGTATGGGTTGCTGAAAACCAATTCTAACCCGGATCTACTTGATAGAAACAGGGAGCTATTGCACACCTGTTTAAAGTAACAGGGATTTACAGGAAGCAAATTCCTGCATCCTATACTCATACAGGGCTCGATTTAGTGCTTTGTTACTTCCACTGGTGCAACCCAATATTACAAAGTGCATCCTAGTTATCAGTCGACTTGCACCAGGTGCAAGTCAAGTTTGGAATGGGTAAACTTCTGAATAAAACATCTAAATAATTCAACAGTATTATATTTCTTTCATTACATATTGCAATAAAAGCAGTGCAAATGGAATTTAGCTGGTGCAACTAGGTTTTTATCTTAGGTTGCACCTCGTGCAAGCAGGTTATCATCTCATAAATCGAGCCCTGTCATAAAAATTGACAATGGACGCAATAAAATTTATTAGTGCGTCCACAGGGACTCTGAAAAAGTCCAAATACTTTTTGTGAAGATTCCAATAAAGTGACAATAAGTTATCACTGAGTTTGCTACAAGCGGAGTTGTGGTATTATTTGCAATTTAATTACTGTAACAATGTGATGATCATGATACACAATACAATAACAGTATTAATAATAATATTTTACTGTCTTGGACCCCCATTTTGTTGTCCAGGCCCCCTGAAAATTAAGAGTACTAGTCCCAAGGACCCTCAAATACAGGACTCCATGTAGAACAATGAACTAATATTAATTACAAGGTCCCTGCTGCATAATTCCAGTCAGTATGTCATGTAAATCTACAAAGCAACCAACCTGTCCGTCCACCTGTGTGGTGTGGTACTTGCAGTAGACCTTCTTGTCCTCCTGGAACAGACAGTGGTCGGCCTTGGCACACTTGAAGTGGTAGTTGGCAGAACATCCTCGGTTACAGCAGCCCACTGTGGCACCAGACCTACTGCAGTAGTCGCAACGCTGGCGACAGAAAGTGAAATGTCATGGTTACCATGGTTACCTCGATTCAGGTCTAAAATACTTTCATTACTTGGACCCATACCAAGGATCATGATTACAGCAAATCTTTCATTCAAATACAATGCTAGGATCCTCGCACATCTAAGGGAGGCAACTCTGCAGAACAGATCACATGTGAAAAGTGTGGTTTATATTAATCAATTAAACCGGAGATTGGTATCAACCATGCCTGTTCATCCAGTATGTCTCCTTGTTGTTGGGATATTCGACCCCAGCTGGAGTGAGCTTATTTTTACGCCACTTATAGCAACATTACAGCAATATTACGTCAGGGGACATCAGAAATCGGCTCCACAAACTACACCCATGTGGGGAATCAAACCCGGGTCTACCTCCAGGTAGGTGCATTTTGTTTTACTTTGTTTTTACCCTTGTCCTGGCCCATGCAGAAGTAGGGACAAGTATTACCAGTAATTTGAACCTACCATCTGTCGTCCTCGGCCAACAGCGATGTGGACATTCTGGAGCATGCCGTCTGCCTCCTCAAATACCTCAGCGGACCACAACGCACAGTTGACATGAACCCAGTCATCCTGACCCACGTACAGCAGACGGCCTGCTTCCTGCAGGTCAAAGGTAAAAGTGTCGGTGAAACATATTCCACAGAAAGCTTAGACGAGTTAGTGAGTTTATGTTTTACGCCACAATATTCCACCAAAATCACGGCGGGGGACACCAGAAATGGGCTTCTCACATAGTACCCATGTGGGGAATTGAACCAAGGTCTTCAGCGTGACAAACATACACTTTGACCATTAGGCTACCCCGCTGCACTGCGATTTAGCAAAGTATCAAGTGCGTGGTTCAAACAATGCTTTGAACAGTATTCCATCAAGGTTTGTCACCTCTCTTTCAATCCTCTGTATCAGTTCTATTATAAGTGAAAACATGTCGTCTCTACATAACACTGTCTATTATTGTTATTAACAGGGTTTGTACCTAATATTATCTGCCATCAAATTTTGGCCGGGACACGGGCACTTTACGGGTCCCTGCCTTTGGGACCCTAACCCTAACCCTCGCTAGAGTAAACAAAAAGACTTCCGGGCACCCATAAAGTGCAGTCTACCCTTTTGGGGACGCCTACCTTTGTAGTGGCTTTCCAAGGCCAACAACAATTTTAAGGATCTTTAGAAACACATATAACACACAAGTAGTTGACTACACACAAGGCTGGTCAAATGTGGGATCAACCATCAGAGGGAGATAACTCTTAGCTACATCACAGCACTAGGAAAGCTTTGCTTCTCTATGGAGATTAATTAACACCCACTGTAATTTTGAGGATTTTTTATTATGTATTAGTTTCCTTTAAAAAAGAATATATTGTGGAATGTAAATTATTATTTCCGAATAGCACTGTGACATCATCAAGTTCATGACATCATACCATTGTCAGGTCATTGTACAAAATCTTCTGTCAAAGCGATATCTCCTTGGAGATGTAGTTTGATCCCACACAAGCAATATCTCCTGCGGAACACAGTTTTTGATGATAAATTTCTAAAACGATCAAGATTTTCAAACATATTGAGCAGTGAGGACCACATGGGTCATTTCAGTCATAATGACGACATTTAATATTTAAAGTGAAAAACTAGAAACCGTTTCCTCCAACTCACAGTATTGCAGACTATCAAAGAACTGTATTTTCTGAGACTGAACAGCTGTGACAAGTCAACTTACATTAGGTAAATCATCTCCGAAAGATGAACACAACAGGCACTGTCTGAGATCGTCACCTCCGTAGTCTGACATCGCCACCACCGAGCTGGTCTCACTGTCACCGTCTATAGAGGCTGAATAGCAAGTATCATAATTAAGGTGAATCTTTAATTCAAATACAATGATAGGATCTTCACACACCTAAGGGAGGCAACTCCGCACAACAGATCACATGTGAAAATATTGAGGGAAAAATTAACCAATTAGCCTAGAGATTGATATTAACCTTGCGTGCTGATCCATTGTCTCCTTGAGTACAAGTGAGCGAGTGAGTGAGTGAATGAGTGAGTGAATGAGTGAGTGAGTTTATTTTTACACTGCTTATAGCAACATTACAGCAATATTAAGTGGGGGTGTTATGTTATGAGTAAGTGAGTTCAGTTTTATGTCATTTTTAAAGATATTCCAGCAATATCACAGCAGGAGAATCGAACCCAGATCTTCAGCATGACGAGCGATAGCTTTAACCACTAGGCTACCTCAACCACACGAGTACAACTACAAGGACAGATCGTTGGAGATATTCTACCTAACTTGAATCTAGTGGGGAATTAGATGCATTAGATATGTCCCTGTCAGCTGCTGTATAACACTGGCATCGACGCATGTAACAGTCAAGCACCAGGTGGATGACAAGAAAAGTCAGTGACCCATATCTTTTATCAAAATCGTCCCTATTTTTTTTACGAAGCTAATGAACAGAAATTTTTTTTTTTTTTTTGCCCAAACCCCATTTGAAACTATCCAATTTCCAATTTCATTTTCATATGTTGTGTGCTTGTTGTTCAATGCTCCACTCACACGCCTTCTAGCGATGGGGCAGCAGTCTGTAAAAAGATGTGGGCCAGACAATCCAGTGATTGACATCATGAGTATCCATGTACCCAATGCAGACTTTGCAAATTTTATCATTGTACAGACAACATAATATAAACCCACATGATCATCTAATTCTATTAGTCTGATGATTTGTTACCAGACCATTAAAATTTTTGAATAGTTCACTTGTGGATCTCCATTGGGATGAAGACGGCACAATTCTAACCCACTTGTGCATGCTTCTTCACCTGGGTAATGTACTCTGATAACCCTACAACTTAGTGAACTGACCAAAATTTTAATGATAGTTCTTCATGGGTAATGGTGGAGTCAAGATAACACCTACAACTTGTTGGGTAGAGTAAATGATAAACATGTGATTATTCATATTTATGGGCAATGTACAAGATAAAATTTGCAACTGGTCCGTCAAGACCAAACGGACTTCTAACCCGGCTACCCTGACCACCTAATCCTATTAGTCTGCATGAGTAGATGAAGACCAAATATGTTGTGGATCTCCATTGGTGAAGACCAATTCTAACCCGGATCTTCATGGGTAATGTACAAGATAACACCTACAACTTGCCGAAGACCAATTTGAACTTGGATCTTCACAGGTACAGAATTAACACCATGCACACTCACACATGGGCACCATCTTCTTGATAGGGCTGCACTGTATTCTCTTGAATGGCGACGGTTGCGGCGACAGCGGTGGGTCCTCCCTCTCCAGCCATTGTGCGTACGTGTGGTCACCACTAGGTGGCAGCACTGCATCCGGCAACATCCCGCTGTCAAACAGAGTAGGGACATGGTCAGGCAACCTTAGAATCGTATACGACAAGACCTGACTTCATTGGAAAACCTCTTTCACAATCCTTGCAGTTTGAACTGGTCCTGCCCGGACAAGACAAAAATGTTCACATGTTCGGTCAGTGATTGTTCAGTTCGATTTGTAGCAAAACCCAAACACCGGGAATTATGGACCCAAAATGTCAACAATCAGTGCAGACTACCATTATTGGATTTTTAGTGAGTGAGTGAGTTAATATTTAACGTCACATTGGCAATTTTTCAGCCATATCGTGACGAGTACATATTTGTCATTGAAATGTAATATGTGTATATTAGAAAAAACCTGTCTTCAAAGGACAGTAAAACAACGAGAATATCACAATTACAACTAAAACTAGTGTGGAAAGTTAAAACTTATAGCACTATTTGGACAATACAATATAATAACTGGCTATAGATCGCCAACAACTGGAGGTAAATCACCAAACTAGGGACCATGGGGACTTACATTACTTTTGCTACCTGCATGGACCCTAGCTGGATTTATATCATCCCTTCAGCCGCTGGCGGTGGTGGGAAGGTTAAGCCGAAATTTAAAATAACAAAAATACTACATTTAAAACAGCTGGTAAATTTAAATTTCCTTTGAATGTTTCGGGACTTTTTGGATTTTTACTTCTATTCAGCACAATTTAGTGGTCAGGTGAAATGGGGTTTAATGTCGCACTTATGAATATTTGCGTGTGTATGCATGGCTGCTTGTATTCAATTTAGTGGTGTTGAAGTGAATTTTGACGGCTGGTCAGGTCGTTCTATTCCCCATATTACCCCTGCCAAGCACAGTTAAACAAGAAGACAAAGCCATCAATATCCGCGCTGCAATGGCAAAATACTCTTCATGATTATGTCTACAAGTTATGATTATGTCAAATATTTAGGTGTGTATATAGAAAAGTGGAAGGAGAGTATTGAAAGGTTTTTAAAGTTCTGCTCCAGAAAGGAGCACTATCACCAATTTCAGTATAAGTCAAATTTGTTGTCTTGGAAATGCCAAAAAATATTTTATTCAGAAATCCAAACCTACTAAAAGGCACCAGTACACCACCAGATCTATCCATGTGCAAAGTTTGGTGAAGAAATATTGAACGGTTTTAGAGTTCTGCTCCGGAAAAGACAAATGTGCACAGACAGACGGACGGACGGACGGAGTCCATTTTAATACCCCCCGCAAAACTCGTTGCGGGGGATAACAACAGCAATCAACAGCAAATTTGGCTCAATGATCACTAGTCTAGTACCCTTCCACAAATATTACACACAATCAGGAATTTATCAATACATGCCCAGATATTCAGACTAATTTCAGCAATATATTTCAAAAGAAATTTCCCAAGTTATGATAAATGTCATGGTTGAAGTAAAACCAGCGCGCCTTTTCATTCCAAAACAATACACACAACTAGGGATTTATTCAAACGTTTCAAGATATTCAGACCCATTCCATCAATACATTCCACCAGACTTCTCTCTTCTCCCCTACTCACTCTGGCAGACTCTTGTTGTGCTCCCACAGTTTGCAGGTGTTGATGTTGAACCAAGGGAAGCATTTCTCCATTTGCTGAAACAAGACAATCATACTTCCTGTAGGCATAATCTGACTGAGGCAAGGAGGGAGTGAGTTTAGTTTTACCCCGCTTTAGCAATATTCCAGCAATATCACGGCTGGGGGACACCAGAAATGGGCTTAACACATTGTGGGGATTCGAACCCAGGTCTTCAGCATGACGAGCGAACGCTTTAACCACAAGGCTACCCCACCGCCCGACCCAGGCAAGGAACTTAACTGACCGTTACAGTCCAGGGCCCTCATTCTCGAAACGTTCGTAGCCCTAAGAATTCTTAACTTTGATCGTAGCCAATGTGTTAAGAATGGGCTTAAGAAGTTCGTAGGGCTACGAAGGTTTTGAGAATAGCTAGCCAGTTTACCACCTTAAGGCTGGAGTTTAATTTTGGCTGGCTTAACAAGTATGTGCATAATACAACCAAAAATCATTAAAGAAATCAGTGTCTATACAATATGGGATAACACAGTGTTTAGAGTTAAAGTATTGTGGCATATTCAGAGTGAGATAAATTAATCATCGACAGATTTATTAAAAACCTGAAAAGATTTTTGAAACTATGTGCAGCAAGAGCAATAAACCACTAGATATCCAGGGCCCAGATTTTCGAAGCTCTCTTAACGCTTAGATAGTCGTAAGTGCCATACATTAACATTAACTTACGACTATCTTAGCGCTAAGAGAGCTTCGAAAATCTGGGCCCTGATGATGGATAAGATAAGAGAAGGCAGGAAGCCATGATATGCGATTTGGAGTCTCCTGGTGTCACATGTCACAGTCAAGTCAGTAAATATGGGGGCCTTTAGTTTAGTCAGTAGTTTTTCGGTTAAGTAAAAAATAAATGAGAAAAAAATAAAAAATAAACAGTGGACAAGTTGTCAGGTTAAAACTAAAATGCAAAATCATCCCAGTGAAAGGAAACATGGCAGCATCTGAAACTGGTTAACAATACTGACCATGCTAATGTTTTGTATAATTAGACTGACTGACTGACTGACTGAGTTTGGTTTTACGCCGCTTGTAGCAATATTCCAGCAACATCACGGCGGAGGAGACCAGAAATGGGCTTCACACATTGCACCCATGTGGGGATTCGAACCCGGGTCTTTGGCGTGACGAGCCAACACTTTAACCACTAAGCTACCCCACCGCCCCTTGTATAATCAGACCTAACAAAACTAGTCAGTGTTTGGTATTTCCAAAACAGTAATTAATTTAGCAATATTCCAATATCATGGCAAATGGGTCTCACTCATTCTACCCAAGTGGGGAATTGAACTCAGGTCTTCTTGACGAGCAAATGCATTAACCACTAAGCTACCCAACCACCCAGCTTCTGTAGTGAAAGGGAAGCGGAACAATATTGTCAGTTTACACAATTTTTTTACGATAAACATTTGACTCCCAGTAAGTTTATGATAGCTTTTAAAGTTATTTCACTCTACTACATGACACACTGCTGTCTAACACCACAAGGTTACAACTGACCTTGACAAAGACGGATCTGACAGAGTTGTTGACCTTTCTGCGGGTGTGCGTCTGCTCCTCAGGGTTGTTGAGTGCCGTTTGGATGATGTGCACCATGTCCTCGCTGAACTCCTCCTGCAATATGGTTACCATGGTAACTGACTTTAAATATACACAGGTGCCAGGTATATAACCCAAAACATAACATTTCGTTGTTGTTTGCTGCCAAATTCCAGCTCCTGACTATGTTTTGTTTTTATTAGGCTTGGATTATCTCTTTAGGCCTTTATGCATCATGTCTATCAATCTCGGGTTAAGGGAGTGAAAAGCAAATAGTATCAGTCAGAATAAAGAAAAATAATGATAATATCTCTCACTCTGAGGGTGTGAGTTCGGAATCCCGGATGGGGCTCAACTCAAAAAGTACTAGAATTTGTACTTTACTAAGAAAGTGTAATCCCAAATATAACATATGTTAAATGATGATCTCCTAAACAAAAAGTCTATACTACTCCTGCGAGAACAAACTGCCAACCTACCACACTATGGTACAGGTTAGTCTCCAATTTGTCGCGCACGGCTTCAAAGTCGGTCGGGAAATCTCTGCTGTCACAGTACTTCTTCTTCCCCACGGACGACTCCCGGCGTTGTGATGGTTACACTACCAGACGCAGACTTGGTGGGCGTCTGATTGTTTAGTGTTTGCATGCTGGCAGGAGACTCCAGATCTGACGACTTCTGTTCATCTGCCAGCTTCTCTACTGAGTCTACCTGCACGGCCATTGACATGCTCGAGTCGGGTGTATCCACAAACATTGGTGGCGTGCTGGCACTGAGGGTTGTCTCCCCTGATATGTTGCCCTCCGTTTCTGCAAGACTGTTAGTCTTGTCGAGAACGGGTCCTGGGACAGATGGAAGAACAAGAGATGATTCTGGTTGATCCTGAGAACTATGGTCGTTTTTAGAACCAGTGTCTCTTTCAGGACTTTCTCCGTAACTCTTTAGGTACGACAACAATTCCTGGTCATCGTCTGTGCCCATTATGTCATTTGCTGGTAATTCCGATATTAATTTTTCAAACTTTCCACTAACGACATCCTCCTTCCTTGAATCACTCTTTTCACAACTATCGGTTTCCATGGAAACTGTATCCCTGGCAACAGGTTTCACAGAGTCACTTGTTTCCTGGCTATCTAACTTAGTTGCATCACTACACAATGCTGCTGTTTCTTTGTCACTCAACAAACATTCATCAATTATTCGGAAAATATTCCTCTCCGTTTCTATGGAGATTTTCTCTTCTGTCTCTTTTTCACAGTTAACAGCACTATCACAGATTGTGTTCACGGGATTTTCGGACAAACTTCCAGGCACAACGTTAATATCAGTTTCCATGGCAACAGTGTTCGTTTGTTCCAATACATCGTCTGTTTGAGCAAGGGTTGCGCCTTGTGCCTGTATTTCTGAGTCTGACTGGGGAGTGGATAACACATGTAAGTTTTGTGGGGACGATAGCACTTCGGATGTGGATGAGGGCGTTGCCATGGCAACAGGAGTTACAGACTTTCCAGGAGAGCCCTTGCCTTTTGGACTAGACTTTCTTTTCTCAGCAGACTTTCTCTCCTTCTGGAAGATGAGAAGGAAATTAATTCATGGAAACAAGACTGATTGATGTTTACATGTGTGGTCAGTAAGGAACTTTGAAAGTATCAGATGTGTTCGTTCGTTGTCTGCTTGCTGACCTATTGATCATGAGTGGGCGTCTGGCCTACAACCTCTGACCTTCTGGTCCCAATATACAGTGTCATGGTTAAAGACAATTTTTCAATTTCACAAAGACAAATCATATATTTTACCAATCACTAAAAGTAACAACTTAACAAAAGTTATTGCCAAATTTACCAAAATGGAAACACCAAATATACTGAAAGGCAAAAGAAAAGTCGTATTTTTTAGATTATGGATTTGGTATCATTGATGTATTTTGATGAACTAGTTGTCACCTGATGACTGAAAACAACCTTTGAAAAAACATGATTCGAAGACTAAATGATAAGTTTGTACAACACACCAACTTTTTGGATGGTTTCAAAACGCTTCACTGTTTTCGGACAAGGAACAGCTCAACCAAACGCAACATTGAAAGCACACTGCACGTGCATCTCGTGGGCATACAGGTATAAATTCCCAGCTTGACTACCGATCCGCCAGTCGTTTCCTGACTACAGCAGCTAGGCCGAGGTTAACAAGGGATCAACGCCAACAGGCCATCGGACGTCTACACGCAGGTCAACGTGCTACTGTCATAGCCAATGACTTCAGTTGTTCTGTAAGAACAACTGAACGTCTCCGACAGCGGTTCAACACCACCAACAGCACAGATGACTGTCCACATAGTGGTCGTCCCTGGGTAACCACCCGTCGCCAGGACCGTCAGATCGTCTGTCACCACCTGCAAGACCGGTTCAACAGGGCATCAGAGACAGCTCGAAACACCATTGGCACCCACCAAAGAGCAATCAGTGACCGCACCGTTTGGCAACGCCCACAAGCCAGCAACCTGTGCTGTAGACGTCCTGCCCTGGGTCCAGTGCTAACAACGTCACCGCCGCGAACGTCTACACTGGGCACAACAGCGACAACACTGGCATCAGAGAACTGTTATCTTCTCTGATGAAAGTCGCTATTGCGTATCTGTGGCTGATGGGAGGACTAGGGTCTGGCGTCCCAGAGGAGAACGCTTCAATGATGAGTGTGTGATGGAGATAAACGCTTGGGGTGGTCAGAGCATTATGGTTTGGGGTGGAATCGGACAACCAGAAAATCGGACCTGTAATTTTCCAGAATCTCGGTCCAAGAATAGGGAATGGTGTGACAGCTGCCCGGTACATCAACCAAGTGCTACAGCCCCATTTTGTGCCGTTTTTTGCACGTCATCCGGGTCACGTTTTCCAGCAGGACAACGCGCGTGCACACACTGCCAGACTCACTAGAGAATTTCTGCAGCAGCATAATGTGGAAACCATGCCTTGGCCAGCCCTGAGCCCAGACCTCAACCCAATAGAGCATTTGTGGGATGAGATCCAAAGACGCCTCAATGACATTAGACGAAGGCCAACAACTACGCACAGCGTTCCTGAGGGTGTGGGCTCGGATTCCTATGGCCTATGTGAATCGCCTCGTGCACTCTATGATCAGGAGGTGTGCTGCAGTTGTGAATGCAAACGGTGGCCACACCCGATATTGACTTCGGTTCCTTCCAGTGACGTCATCGGTGAATAGGAAGTGGCAAACAATGCCAAAAGTTATCTTTTCATTGTGTCCTTGTTTCTTATAACCATAGAGTCATCTATTCCACCAGTTACTATCCCATCTACATACGACGTTTCTTTTGCCTTTCAGTATTCTTTACTTAATCCTCTACTTCAAAAGCACTTACAATCTGTGTTAGACTTTTAGTTGGTAAAGGTCATACTCAAAATGCAGCTGTACGACAATGGCCAGACAATCCAGTGAAAGACATTGTTCACAACAATCCATGCTATCGGAGCACGAGGACATGTCTGATCACACCATCACTGTAGGCTGATGTCCACCCATCCTCACCACACAAGGGGCCCGTACTTCCAACTCACCTTCTCGTCACGCTTGAGCAGATGCTGTGCACACTTCATACTGAGCAGGTTTAACAGGACGGTCTTGAGGCTGGCCACAAACTCTGCTCTCAGGAGATTTTCCCACGGTGCGGGACGCTGTTTCTCACAGATCCGGCATGTGTAGTGCACATCTTCCGGCAGACACGACAGCAGCTGGTACATCTCATCTAGAATGAATGAATGGATGGATGGATGGATGGATGGATGGATGGATGGATGGATGGATGGATGGATGAATGAATGGATGGATGAATGAATGAATTTGTTTGTGTGTGAGTGAGTATGGTTTTATACCACTTTTAGCTACAGTCCAGCAATTTCACAATTAGGACACCACAATTGGGCTCCACATTTTCCCCATGTAAGAAATCGAACTCGAACCTTCGTACGACAACAAAAAAGCAAGAGTAACATTTCACTTATGTATATAAAAGGAATTTGGTACAAAACATGGACGATTCTTCCAACATCATAATGGCAGCACAACTAATTATCTTATTTAAATACTGTTGCAGAAGTCCAGAAGACTTGTGTAAACATATTTTACAAGTGCTCAGCTATTCCGGATTAAAACAGGCAAAAATTGTTACCTATGTTTTCACTCCTGACAATTATATTTAGTTTCAATTTGTAAAAAATCTGAAGCAATGAAAACTGTTCAGTCAATGAAAACTACCATCATGGGATTTATATTTCTACTCAACTAAGACTAGTCGTCATCTTGCTGAAGTACTACTCACCTGACAACTGCTCACACCGAGCATGCACCCAGCTTTCACACTTGACACACTGGATCATCTTGGACTCCCAGTCGTCGTCTGAGTAGCACTTGTGACAGATCGGGCAGAAGTTGCCTACAACCATGGCAACAGGGTAGATAATGGTAAGAAAGTCTCAAACATTCAGGTTCAAACCGAAGTGAAAATATATTTCTTTGACTGGGGTGTGTGTTTCTTAGGGCCTTATAATGAGCTCCTTAACTCATGGCCCAAACATCCTGCCTTTAGCACATGAGCAAATATGTCACGACATGTGAGGTGAGGTAAAATTGGGTTTAACGTCATGCTTGAGAATATTACGCTCATATGACGACGTGCATGCGTGTGTATGTGTGTGTGCGTGCGGCTGCTTGTACTAGCCCAGACTGAAGCTGGTTTTATAGTGCTAGCCCACTGAGATACCATGCCGCAGTGAAGCATGAATACCCCACTCAGACACATTATACTGACTCCGAGCCAACCAGTCCTTGTTGTACCCAGTAATGCCGAGCGCCAGGCAGGGACCAACAAGTACCATATTTTAACGTCGGGGACATGTGCACACTGAACAAAGATATATTGTCAGTGAAATAATTATGTGATAATGAGATCACAGATTGTGCTGGCAAGAAAACATTTGTAACATTGCGAGTGGGTGAGAATGGTTTTATGCCGCTTTTAGCAATATTCCAGCAACATCACGTGGGGGACACCAGAAATGGGCTTCGTACATTGTACCCATGTGGGGAAGTGAACCTGGGTCTTCGGTGTGACCAGCAAACGCTTTAACCACTAGGCTACCCCAAACAAAAATGGGCTTCACACACTGTTGGGAAGCGAACCCTTTAACAATCGCCGCCATATAGCTGGAATATTGCTGAGTGTGGCGTAAAACGAAACTCACTCACTCACTAACAACAAACCAACCCAATCAGGTATTTGCTGAGTTGGTTGCTGTGGACCTACTCTATCCCACAATTCCCCCATGTAACGATGTGTGATGACACTTACCCTTATCCATGAGTTTTCCGCACTCGTAGCAGAGTGAGAAATCGTAGGTCCAGGTGGCATTGGTGCCAGTGCCGGGGGTGGTGGCACCACAGCTCTTACACCGCACACACTTTGTACACACCCAGATGTTCTTCTTCGACGGCCGAGTTGGGTAGCTTGGACCAAGACATTCTGGATGATATGTTGACTGCAAGAGTGAACAGGTGAGTGAACAGGTGAGTCACCAGGTGAACAGATGAGTAACAAGGAGTAACAGCAGAACACAAGGAGAACAGTAACCAGGTAGAACAGGAGAGTTATCAGCTGACAGAACAGATGACTAACCAGGTGTGTGAACAGGTGAGTTAACAGGTGTGTGACCAGGTAAGTAACCAGGTAGAACAGGTGTGTGAACAGGAAGGAGAACGGGTGAGTTAACTGGTCTAAATGAATGAGAGTCAGGTAGAAGACAGTAACCTCAAACAAGAGTCATCAGAAGATGACATATCCCCCCGGCCCGCACATATTTGAAAGAACAAATCATCTGCGAGTTACTTAAAGTCCAGCTTGACTTTTTTTTAAACAAAGTCCGAATCGTTTCCATGGAAATCATGAGAAATATAAATGCCAAAAATCTGTAAATAGCAAAAGGCACCATTTCAAACTTTGCCTAATATATCTGCCAAGTTCTGTTGAAAGATACTGAATGCTTTTCGAGTTGTGCACCGGAAATGAAGCCCACCCCTCCCTTTTGGGACTAAGTCCGAATCATTTCCATGGAAACAGGGAAATTTAAAAATGCCAAAAATATGCAAATAGCAAAAGGCACCACGTAAGGTTCTGTTTGATATATCTACTCAGTTTTGTTGAAAAATATTGAACTGTTTTTTAGTTATGCTCTGGAAACAAAATGATTACGGACAGACGAGGCGTCAACTATATCCACCCTGCATTACATGCCGGGGGGATAAAAACTTGGAGTAAAGTCAAAGGTTAGCAGTCAAGGGTCACTGCTGAGACCTACAAAATCAGGCATAGTGCTCACCATTCATTGGGTCAGTTTCAACATTCTTGAATTACTGGGGACATTTACACAAATCTCTCTACAGACCTGACAACGGTCACATCGAAGGAGATGGTTCTGATGGCCGCAGACGTTACAGAACTGACAGCGCCGACAGCACCAGTTTTCCATATTCTCCTCCTCCGGCCGCTCCTCGTAGTCCAGGCAGAACAGGTGGAATGGTTCGCAACACGCCGTGCAGTAGATAAGCTGCAACAAGGGCAGGGGGTATTATGTCAGTTTGTTTCCCAATCAGGGAGGACGACTTGACATTAAGAAATGCTTCTCTGTTTTTTTAAAAGGTATGCTTATCAATCCTTAGGTTTGGTGCATGACTGTTCCTCACCTCGTGTTTGCCTGCACTGCCACACAGGTAGCAGACCGTCCTGACACATGCTGGTGCCAACATTGTCAGTGCCATTCCCTGTTGCCATGCCAACTCCACCTGACAGCTCTCCTGGAACCAAACATGAAATACGGAGATTATATCAGTCAGCAATATTTGAACAATACTAGAAAACAATGAAATAAGCGAGCAAACGGAGAGCGAACGAACGAACGAACGAACGAGCGAGCGAGCGAGCGAGCGAGCGAGCGAGCGAACGAACGAACGAACGAACGAACGAACGAACGAACGAACGAACGAACGAACGAAGAACAACATCACAGCAGGGGACACCAGAAATGGGTTTCACACATTTTACCCATGTGGGAAATTGAACCCGGGTCTCTGGTGTGACGACCATGAATAGCTAATGCTTTGTAACCCTGAGGCTACACACGATTCCAGCAGAGCATGAGCAATGATTAACATGGCTGGGGGGTAATGTTGACAAACAATCAGCCATTTCCATCTTCACTGGAGTCCTGGAGAAGCTGGTTTAGTCTCAGACTAGTGGCCAGGTCGTGTCTAGGATCTAAGGCCACCTAAAATAATTTCTTGTTTCTCATTACTGCCCGACCCTTAAATGTTTTAATTTTTTGCACTGGTAAATTTACGTGCATAAAGCAGGCCGACTTCCGAAATCCGTCTCAGTTTCCGGCATTCCAAGTGATCGACTAACATTGCATAGAAAATCAGGAAAAAAAACATTAAAAAAGAGAAGAAAGGAATATCTGCCCAATCTACCCAAATTTCTTTTTTGATCTCTTATACACCTAGAGAGAGACCAATACATAGGGGTGGGTATTGCAGAGAATTTTCATATTGCGATATATTGCGATGCTAAAGCATGTATTGCGATATGTATTGCATTATATTGCATGAAGTATATTGCGCAGCCCTACCAATACACAAATGATTTTACATAATGGTCAAATGTAATGTGTGTTATATTTCGGATTACACTTTCATAGTAAAGTACAAACTCCTTTGTGAGTGAGTGAGTGAGTGAGTTTTACGCCACTTTTACCAATATTCCAGCAATATCACGGTGGGGGACACCAGAAATGGGCTCCACACATTGTAGCCATGTGGGGAATCTTTGGCGTGACCACTATGCCTCCCCACTGCCCCGTGTCAAACTGAGAGTCAAACAAACGGTCAGAGTTTCGTTTTTGCGGAAGCCTTGGTGGATGAGTGGGTTAAATTACCGACTTTGTGTTCTAGCTCGATGGAGCCTCATTCCCTGGAAGCATGACAAAAGAAAACATAATATTCTGCAGACATTGAGGTCAAACATCTCTGACCAGTCCATGAGGTTGCCCTGGTGAGGTGAGGTGAGGTGAAATTGGGTTTTACGTCGTGCTTGTGAATATTTTTCGTTCATATGACGATGTGCATGCGTGTGTATGTGTATGTGCGGCTGCTTGTACTAGCCCAGACTGAAGCTGGTTTTATAGTGCTAGCCCACTGAGATACCATGCCGCAGTGAAGCATGAATACCCCACTCAGACACATTATACTGACTCCGAGCCGACCAGTCCTTGCTGTACCCATTAATGCCGAGCGCCAGGCAGGGACCAACAAGTACCATATTTGAACGTCTTTTGGTATGACACGGTCGGGGATCGAACCCGCGACCTTCCGCTCTCCGGGCGGACGCTCTAACCACTACACCACGGAGGCAGTCCGCCCTGGTTGGGGGTGATTAAGGACACCAAAAAGATGGAATTCAAATTTTAGACAGAAAAAAGACACAAGTTACAGGACTACTTCTATGACATTGTTTCCTACCCTGAAGTCGGCCATGAGAAGATGAGCGTCTGCTGAAGAAGTCATCCAGCGTCTGGAGCCAGTTGAGATCGGTTTGAGCGAAGCACCAGGTGTCTTCAAGGATGTCACTGCCTGGCAAAAAACACAACCTCCATGTAGACTGAGTCAGAAATATTTCAAAAAGATCACCTACACGTGGGTTAATATCATTTCAAGATGGCTTGCAATGACAGCCATGTTGAAGTGTTAACAAATGATTATGGCTATCTTGAAGTTCGAAAGTGAAACCATGTGAGTTTAGACATATTTGTTTCCAAGACGGCTTCCAATGACAGCCTGGTTATCACTGCAAACCATTTTTACGTTCAAAATCGAAACCATTTTGGTCAGGAAGACATTAACAATAATTCATCACATCATTCGGTAACCTAGCAACACTTTCTGAAATGAAGTAAACATTAAAATGTTTACAGCTGTTGCTAATAAACAGTATCCTGAACCAAAAACCTGACAGATAATCACTCCAACGCAATGTACTTTACCTTCTCTTTGGCCCTGGCAATTCGCCTTGCTTGTGACAACAGTGACGCTTTTTTTCCGTCATGAAGAGAGGCGTTAGACATTGGGGGCGTGTTGGAGCTATTGGACGACCGGCCATCGCCGTCCTGCACCATTGGGAGACGACGTCCACCATTGTTTCCTCCTGTTGAATTGTGGGAAGACTTTGAGGAGAAGGAGTGTCGACCGTCACCGTCTGTGTGGGAATCATCATCGGGCTCGCGATCACGTGACTTAATATTTTTTAACACGAATGTCGTTGCAACTTTTGCATATTTCGGGTTTGAGCATTTCCTTTCGCTGAAATACAGAATCAATATGTCTGACAGTGGAAGCAAAATTCAGGCGATACTATCAATGATGAAACCCGTGTCATGCCGACAATATCTTATTCTCATCTATTTTTGTAATCTGTTGCTTAGTTTCTACATTCTAATTTCGGGCTGGTCAAGTAACTTTCAGGTATAGCTAGTCTGACTGGCTAGCAAAATTTGGATACTATTTCTCACACTGATAGCAAACTACAGCCTGTAACATTCACACTAGATCATAGCTATTAAACTGTGCTGACAACATGTAATAATCCAATTACCCTCAATCGCTAATGAGGGCAAACATTGCCGTTTCTTTATTTCTGGTACAAATTGGAAACTGACAGAAAACCATTGTGTCTCAATGATGAAGGACAAGATACGAAGGACTAATGCAACAGTATAATGAGACTGGTTTAACAAAAACATTTGTTTTGTTTGTTTGTTATTTAATGCCGCGCTCAGCAATATTCCAGCTATATGGTGGCGGTCGGTAAATAATCTAGTCTGGACCAGACAATCCAGTGATCAACAGCATGACCATCGATCTACGCAACTGGGATACAATGATAAGTGTCAACCAAGTCAGCGAGCCTGACCACCCGATCCCGTAAGTCACCTCTCAGGAAAAGCATGGGTTGCAGAGAGAGAAACAAGCATGGGTTGCTGAAGACCAATTCTAACCCGGATATACACGGGTCTCCTTCAAAAGTAAAATGAGAGATGGCTACTTACACACAAGCCTGTTTCATCACGGACCGCCCTCCAAACTTGGGTTTGTCTCTGCAAGGATGTCAGGAATAGCATATCACCAGAAAATGCCAAGATGTATGTCAAGAAACTAGGGCATTGTATTTGTATGTTAAGAAACTTAACCAACTGATGCACATATAGTTTCAATATACATACACTGGACATATAAAACAGACCCTTAAGGCAAAAATACATCAGATTATGTGAGTGAGGATGGCTTTACACTGCTTCTAGGAACATCATGGAAGAAGACACCAGAAACGGGCTTCACACATTGTACATATGTGGGGAATTGAACCTGGGTCTTCGGCGTGACAAGTGAACACTTTAACCACTAGGCTACCCCACCGCCCCATAAGTTGAGAACTAAACTGGAGACAACTAACACCACTTCTGATCCATCACTGAACTTGGAGAACGCCTTTTTACCATGAGCTAGACAATAACAGAGATAAGATAAGATAAGATTTAGCTCATGTGGGTACTGTACCCACTGTATTTTTTTGCAGTGGGTATTATGAATATTGAGTGGGTATTTTATTTTCCGTTACCCACTGTTTTCAAATATGTGCGTATTTCAGTCATTTCACTCACCTAAGCATTACGTCATTGAGTAAGATTACTAGGAAGGAATGTTCTGCCTCATGTCATACCTAATCAAAACCAACTTAAATATAATGGAAATTTCATGAAAAATCACTCATCCTACACTGACAGTACAACACTTGTCCTATACTAACAGTACAACTTAATAGCAATCGATGTCTTTTTCATTACGCAAGCGATTTTCATAAATATATTCCGTACGCATTTGTTTTAAACTTTTTGCGTATCTAACATTTTAAATGCGTGATCGGTATGCAACAATAATTTTTCAATGCGTAATTGGGAATTTTCTAAGCGTATTTTACCCGGATACGCAGCTTATCTGAGCCTCTGAATAAGTTGGGCCCCTTCTCAGTCCCAGAGACTGATCATGACGATATATTTTCTGAATCCCCAGGATTAGCTTGTAAATCACCCATTAATCATAGTCGCAACTTTCCATGTAGTTACAGCAACTCTTTCACAGTTCGTGTAGTCGCTGAACGTCACACTCCACAATATTCTAGCTATATGTCAGTGGTCGAATAATAATCAATGATAATTGACCAGACAATCCTGTGATTAACAACATGTGCACCGATCTAAGCAGTTGGGAAAACACGACCAAGTCAGTGAGTCTAACCATCGATTCGGTTAGACTCCTCTCACGACAAGCGTGTGATGCTGAAGACCAATTCTAACCCAATCTTCCGAGGTTTCTTTCAAAGACTACACGTAACAAATACTCGAGACAAATGATAAATGACATCTAAAAATCCACTTCAGGAACCAGGATCGTACTTCAATTTCCAAATTGTTAAATGTCAGACAGCATTATTTTGACTAGTTGAAAATGAAAAGGAACTGCCTCTTTCTTATCAACCATAGTCCTCTGGACTTTGAAAAAATCAAACCCTTGAAATTACTGTCGTTCTCAGTGGATAAAATATCTCGAATATACAGCCTCCGAAATTCACACTAGTCTGCCAACACAAGGAACAGTTATAAAGAAGTATGCCAGTTTCCTTGATAATACTTAGGCGTGTACAATATGATGTTGCCAAAGTGCCTGCATTTTGTATTATGGGCCTATGGTCAATAAATCTGTCTGTCTGTCTGTCAAGTGTCTTCATCTCAAGTATACTTACAGGCAGTAAATACATTTTCCACAATCCTCTGCCATGCAACCCTTACACTGGCGGCATCGGACTTTCCGACGGCGCCCCGTCTTGGTGAAAGGGTACGTGGCTGCATGTGACTTGACTGGCGACTTCTTGATGACGTGGGACTCCTGGGTGGCAGCGTTACGGATAATCTCCTCCATTGGGCGCTCGTCGTCCGATGACTCTGCAGCAGAGATTTCTCCAATGAAAACAGATTGAAATTGAAGGTGAAGGTCCAGTGACCATTGAGGGTAAAGGTCAAGTGATCGAGGGGGAAGGTCAAGTGATCATTGAGGGCAGTGTGCAAAATAGTTTCCAAATTTTGCTAGCCAGTCGGGCTAGCTATGCCTGAAAGTTACTAGCCAACAAAATAAATTCATAATCTTGTACAATATAAAACTGTATTATAACTTAACAAGACGGAGAGAGTGATGTATTTACAAAATGATCCCATGAAAATTCACTAGCCAGTCAGGCCAGTTACTGTGGAGATTTACTGGCCTGAGTGGATTTTTACTAGACACAGGCTAGCGGGCCAGTGGCTATTTTGCACACTGATTGAGGGTGACGGTCAAGTGATCATCAAAAGTGAAGGTCAAGTGAAGGTCAAGTGATCCTCGTCATAGGTTATAAGGGATCCCTTGATTCAAATACTAACAGAGTAATGTGATTAGCATCAAACACTAGAAATACATTGTGAATTCAAGTCTGTCATTAGTGTTGTCCTAAATTAACAAGACGAAGTCATCAATATCCCCCTCAATGGCAAAATACTCTTCATGATTATGTCTACGAGTTATGATTATGTCAAATATTTAGGTGTGTATATGGCAAAGTGGAAGGAGAGTATTGAAAGGTTTTAAAGTTCTGCTCCAGAAATGAGCACTAACACCAATTTCAGTCGAAGCCAAACTTGTTGCCATGGAAACACAAAAAATATTTTATTCAGAATTTTATTGGGTGAAGAAATAGTGAACAGTTTTAAAGTTCTGCTCTGGAAAAGAACACTACCACCAATTTCACTCAAAGTCAACTTTGTTGCCATGGAAACGCATAAAATATGATCAGAAATCCAAAACTACCAAAAGGCACCAGTTCACCACCAGACCTATCTATGTGAGAAGTTTGGTATAGAAATATTGAATGGTTTTATAGATCTGCTCCGGAAAAGAGCACCAACTCCAATTTCAGTCAAAGTCAAAATTGTTGCCATGGGAACGCAAAAATATAATAATCAGAAATCCAAAACTACCAAAAGGCACCAGTACACTACAATTGATAATTTCAAATACAAACTTCTTTCCTAGAGGATAATATTGAGCAAATTAATCAAATAGTACATTTGAACTATTGAGTATTACATAAAAAAGTTAATATAAAAAAATTATAAGAATTCAGTTGCCATAATAATCTGCCACTAGTTTCAATATCATACATTCAGAAGTATTACTCAAGAAATACTCTGGGTGGTGAAAATTGGACCATCCTTCAGTGTAGACATATGCTACATATCTCACAATTCCCCTCACCTCGTTCTCTTTGTGCCTTGCTCTCTTCAAGCATTTTCTCCTTCTCAAGACTTGGCAGCGCACTCAGTCGCAATGACGGTGGAGACGGGAACTTCGCCACTGGCTTGCGCAACACCATAGCGGCCCGCCGACACACATGTTTGATCCGTGGTCCGCTACCACCCCCTCCACGGCTGTCGGTGCTCCCCTCCACTGGCTGTTGTTCTTCCCCTTCCATGACGACGTCCACTTCCTGTTGTGCAGACGTCGCCAGCTTGGCAGCGAGAGATGACATGACTTTGGGGGATATGTGGGAACCTCGTTTGACCGGAGTTATCTTCTCCTTAGCGGATTTTTCTGGAGGAAAAACTAATTGCTGAGGATTCTGAGCAATCATATCATAATGTACACAGAGAGAGATTTTGAAAAATCGTATGCCGAGAGGTAAAAGAGAAATTTAGAAGAATCAGAGATAGAGTTTTTGTAGAATTATATTCAGAGAAAGAGAAAGATAGATTTTGAAAAATCGTATTCAGTGAGGGAAAGAGAAATTTTGAAGAACCAGAGACAGAAAGATTTTGAAGAATTATATTCAGATAAAGAGACAGAGATTTTGAAGAATTATGATCAGAGAAAGAGATTTTGAAGAGGAGAGATATCTCAGACTGATCCAGGGCTCCAGATAAGGGCCGTATCGGCGTATGTACGGATAAAAAATATGCACGATACGGTAGGAAATAATTTAGAAAACGTAGCAGATAAGCACTACAGCAAAGGTGCACGGTCATTTACAGACGTATTTATCTGATAAAAAGTATTGTTTTATTGTTTATTGACCTGTTTACACAAGAGTAGCAATGTTGTGGTGCATATATGAAACGAAACACAAGATTACTGATAGTCCATTAGCTTCCATTCAGTACTCTAAATGTACACTTAAGGTTTTCCAGTACTCAATATTGAACAAATAGGAGTACGTACTCCTGATGTTGAATAATTATCTGGAACCCTGCTGATCATCCTACACATACAAAGGGATATAACTCTACATAGCAAGTTAAACTGTAAACATAGCTATAAGACAGTTACTAAATTAATAACAAGTTTTTCATTAAATACATTCTTCAAAAGCAATATAAGAAACAAATGTGAGCCTCATATAACTTATTCTGTAAAAGACAATAGCATACCATTGTCAGGAGAGAGAGGTAGATTATTATTATCAAACAGAGGGCGTGGCGGACTGCCAGGTCCATCAATGAAAGCTCGGGTACCAGATATTGGTGACAGTGCCAGGGGCGACGTTGGCGACTGAGGGGAGAATGAAGATTTCTTTCGGAGCTGCTGCCTTTGGAGCTTAGCCTCCTTCTTCATCTGTGCCTTCAGAGATCTGGCTAAAGCTGCTTTCGACCGGTTGACTGCGACTCTGTTCAGCTGCAGTTTAGCTTTCCGGAGGATGTTGTCTCCGCTACGTTTAGCTGCCAGGGTGTCCTGACCCCCCTTGCCCAGGGACATCGGCCCCGCCCGTCTGAACACGCTCACGCCAGTGGAGGCGCTCACAGACTTGGGGAACAGATCTACCGATTTAGACGAGTTCTCTGAGGATCCTTGAGAGCTCTCCTGACTAGCGGAAGAAGACTCATCCATATCTAGCAGCATCCCTCGTGGTATCTCCCCCTTCCTCATCCGCATCTACAAATGAAATACGGATATATCACATACATCATATCGCACTCCACCTGATGGCTGCCCTGCACCATCACATGAAATACGGATATATCACATACATCATATCGCACTCCACCTGATGGCTGCCCTGCACCATCACATGAAATACGGATATATCACATACATCATATCACACTTCACCTGATGGCTGCCCTGCACCATCACATGAAACGGATATACAACATACTACATCATATCACACTCCTACTGATGGCTGCCCTGCACCATCACATGAAATACGGATATATCGCATACATCATATCGCACCCAACCTGATGGCTACCTTGCACCATCACATGAAATACGGATATATCACATACATCATATCTCACCCCACCTGATGGCTGCCCTGCACCATCACATGAAATACGGATATATCACATACATCATATCACACCCCACCTGATGCTGCCCTGCACCATCACATGAAATACGGATATATCACATACATCATATCTCACCCCACCTGATGGCTGCCCTGCACCATCACATGAAATACGGATATATCACATACATCATATCACACCCCACCTGATGCTGCCTTGCACCATCACATGAAATACGGATATATCACATACATCATATCGCACCCCACCTGATGGCTGCCCTGCACCATCACATGAAATACGGATATATCACATACATCATATCGCACCCCACCTGATGGCTGCCCTGCACCATCACATGAAATACGGATATATCACATACATCATATCACACCCCACCTGATGCTGCCTTGCACTATCACATGAAATACGGATATATCACATACATCATATCGCACCCCACCTGATGGCTGCCCTGCACCATCACATGAAATACGGATATATCACATACATCATATCGCACCCCACCTGATGGCTGCCCTGCACCATCACATGAAATACGGATATATCACATACATCATATCACACCCCACCTGATGCTGCCTTGCACTATCACATGAAATACGGATATATCACATACATCATATCGCACCCCACCTGATGGCTGCCCTGCACCATCACATGAAATACGGATATATCACATACATCATATCACACTCCACCTGATGGCTGCCCTGCACCATCACATGAAATACGTCAAGAATTCCATGAAAAAGGTTAAAAGAACACAGACAACCATGAAAGACTTTTTGCTCTGATTTATTGTTGTGCCAGCTATCCATCGTTTTATAAGCTTTACATTAAATGCTTATTTGTTTTATCCAGAGTCGTGTCGTTTTTGTAATAGTAAGGGATGCAACTCTTGCTTGAACTTGGGTCTTAATTCAGTAGTCCGGACAATTCGATATCCGGACAAATTTGCTGAGAAACGCAACCGTCCGGATTAACGAGGCTTCACTGTATATGGAAAAGTGGAAGGAGAGTACTGAAAGGTTTTTAAAGTTCTGCTCCGGAAAAGAGCACTACTACCAATTTCAGTCGAAGTCAAACTTGTTGCCATGGAAACGCTAAAAATATTTTATTCAGATATCCAAAACTACCAAAAGGCACCAGCACACCACCAGACCAATCTATGTGCCAAGTTTGGTGAAGAAATAGCAAACAGTTTTAGAGTTCTGCTCCGGGAAAAAGCACTACCACCAATTTCAGTCGAAGTCAAACTTGTTGCCATGGAAACGCCAAAAATATTTCCTTTAGAAATCCAAAACTACCAACAGGCACCAGCACACCACCAGACCAATCTATGTGCCAAGTTTGGTGAAGAAATAGCAAACAGTTTTAGAGTTCTGCTCCGGGAAAAAGCACTACCACCAATTTCAGTCGAAGTCAAACTTGTTGCCATGGAAACGCCAAAAATATTTCCTTTAGAAATCCAAAACTACCAACAGGCACCAGCACACCACCAGACCAATCTATGTGCCAAGTTTGGTGAAGAAATAGTGAAAGCTTTTAGAGTTCTGCTATGGAAAAGAGCACAACCACCAATTTCAGTCTAAGTCAAACTTGTTGCCATGGAAACGCCAAAAATATTTTATTCAGAATTCCCAACTACCAAAAGGCACCAGTACACCACCAGATGTATGTATGTGCCAAGTCTGGTGAAGAAATAGTGAACGGTTTTAGAGTTCTGCTCCGGAAAAGAGCACTACCACCAATTTCAGTCGAAATCAAACTTGTTGCAATGGAAACGCCAAAAATATTTAATTCAGAATACCAAAACTACCAAAAGGCACCAGTACAGCACCATATCTATCCATGTGCCAAGTTTGGTGAAGAATATATTAAAGATCTGCTTCGGAAAAGACAAATGTGCACAGACGCACGCACGGACGGAGTCCATTTTATTACCCCCCGCAACGCGATAAATATGGAAATCTTATCATACCCCACCATGAAATATGGATATCTTATCACATCCCACCAACACAACATGAAATAAGGATATCTTATAACACCCCACCAACACAACATGAAATAGGGCATTTGCGCCTCCAACAAATAACAAAATACATATCGCAAATTGTGGATCATAACTGGGTAATTCTGAGAGGTAGTGCTATATATCTCTGGGTCTTTGAAATTGTTCATGCATATCAACCAGTCTTATCATATCACACACCATCAAAACAACATGAAATATGAATATTGTATCAGGATTCACACCCGAATTGTTTGATCGGCATTGCTTCTGAGCAAGATAGTTCTGGATTGTAAATCTGTCGGTACCCACCTTAAGACTTGGTTTCCGCTGACGTTTTCCTTCCACTATCAACGACTTGTCCTTCTTCATCTTCCCTGCCACGACCGAGGAGAAGAGTGAGACAGAGTTACCTCCCTTGGGATGTAAAATGGGACTCATCACAACATCTGGACTAGCAAAATTGTCAGAGTTCTTTTTACGTGTAGGTGTTTTATCTTTCCCTTCACTTGTGACGCCTTTATCGGGTGTTTTCGTCACTTTATTGCCAGGCGTGACCTTCGTCTTCTTCGTGCTCCCTTCTTCTTTAGCCTTGGGTGAAACAAGAGAAGCATCGGGAGATTTGTCCAGTTTCGGTTTCTTCCAAACTTTCCCATAATACCCATCTTCCTCAATGAAACGTTTGTTTGGAATGATGACACGAGACGACCTTGAACTCACAGTTGGCAACACAAACTCCTTTTTGGGTTTTGGTATATGGACCACGTTTGGATCAGACTTAGGTTTCATTGGTTGAGAAATCCGGCTCTGTAACACAGGTCGGCCTTTCTTCGCCTTCTCCAACAGCTGTTTCGCCCTCTTCTTCTCTGTCTGCTTTGTTTTTGGAACACACACAACCTTAACAGGCAATTTTTTTCTAACTTCTTTCACCGGAATTCCTGTTTTCCGAGGCCTCCCAACTTTCCGAGGAACTTTTTCCTCCTGTTTATTTACAGTTTCTGTTTTTAGTTTATCCACCCTTGGGGGACGACCTCGAGGTTTGGGACTCTTGGACGGATCAAAGTTTTTTAATTTTACGGTCAGTGCTGGCTTCTTAAACTTTACATTTTCTTTTCTTTGCCCTATCACAAACCTCTTCCCTCGGACTATTTTCTTAGGCGGCCCCTCTTTTGGCATCTTCATGCGTTTGACTTCTTTCACTGATGCTGTCACATGCGACTTAGATGTCTTAGACAGACCCCCTTTCACCAATTCTTGGCAGGACTTCCTCACAACTGCTTTTATCCTGCCTCCAGTTCGTTCTGAGGTAAGAGGGGTATCCACACTTGATCGTGTACGACCAAATCGCATCGTTTTGGCCCTGGGTACTGGAGTTCTTTCAGTCTCCTCGTCCGAGTTGAACAACTTTTTGATAAGATCTGATGTTGTTCGCTCCAGCTTCTTTTCCCCATATTGTACATTCTTTGCTGAAAAGCCATCAAAGTCTTCTTCCTACAAACAGCAAAATATATATGTTAATGTGATGTTCTAAAATGAGAATACTGACAAATTTACAGTTAACACCTAATGTTTTGAGCATGCAACGTTTCGGTACAGATTCCTGTAATGACTGAGTATAATTGTACGCCACTTTTAGCAATATTCCACTTCCTGCAATATCACGGCGGGGGCCACCAGAAATGGGCTTCACACATTGTACCCATGTGGGTAATCGAACCCGGGTCTTTTGCGTGATGAGCTAACACTTTAACCACTAGGCTACCCCACCGCCCAGATTCTTGTAACACTGTCTAGCAGGGTACCAGAATTGGTATGAAAACGTTGCACTCACAAGAAGTTGTTATCAATAAATTTGTCAGTATTGAATTTCTTAACTTCTAAAATGCCAGTCAAAGAAGTTCTAAAAAGAGGTGTAATGATACGACAGACTCGCGATACAATACGTAACATGATGTTATGGTCTTAAAGAGGTGTGACAATATGATACGATACGTATTGCGATATCTTGGAACGATACGATTCTATTCGATACATATCACACTATGCTATCTTTAATTATTTTCTTTACAAAAGTATTTTGATAGCAAGTAAGAGAGTAAATTTTGACATAACCTTCAAATTCTAGCGAAAAATGTAATTTTTCAAGTAAAATTTATATTTTATACTTATCCTGACTCATGATCTTTTGCTTATCTCCATTTTCCTTGCGAATGGTAGTGGAACACTTGAATACCTTGAAGTTCCCAAAGCGGACGCAATATTACACTCACCCACGGGTTACCTCCCTTTTCCCGCGTAAACAGTCATGTGACCAGCCTTACTTGTCACTTTCTCCTGATTTTTCTGCCCAAACACTTGGATCTGCAGTGCAATCCGAAGTGTTTCCAACAGGGAGGTCGGGAGGGCTTGACCTCATGAGTCAGGATAAGTAAAAAATATCAATTTAACTTGAAAATTTACATATTTTTTCTTATCCTGACTCATGATCTTTTGCTTATAGAATCCTGCGGATTGGTGATCCTATTCTTCCAACTTCCGTTATAACTCGGGGGGGCGGGGGGGCACTTTCTTGTCTTACTTCAGTCTCAGACAAGTTGAATCATGTTGATTCATGTGGCTTCAGATAAACTAGCATCTTCTTATTACTAGATATCTTATAACAACCCATAGATTATGATAAGATCTTTATCATAAATGAGTTGCGACCTCTTCACGTACAAGTAAGATCTTTACCCGTACAGGATCTTCAATCACTCATGCTAGCCTGTCCTAGACTGTGCGCATGGACTTTCAAACTAATACTTTTCCTTAGTAAAAGTTATCAACAAGTCAACGTGATAAAGGGTGAGATTTTCCAACTCAGCGCCTTTGAGGAACCATTAGTTGCTGTGCTACAACGAGAGGCCCAAATTGGTGAATGCCTGAGACATCTTCAGTGGCTATGTCTCGGAGGTAGTGGTTGGCAAACACTGTATCCGACTTCCAAAAGCAGCCCTCCATAATTGCTGATATAGAGCTATTTCCGTGCAAAGCCAATGTTGACGCCAGTGCTCTGACTTTGTGTGGGTTGGAAGCTTTAGGAGGTTCTAGTCCTGCTGCTTTATAGGCTCTCAATATGACGGCTCTCATCCAGAACGATATCGTCGTTCTTGAGACTTCTACTGATGTCTCTGTGGATAATGGGACGAACAGGCGCTTGAATTTTCGTCTCCTTGTCTTAGTCTTTTGAAGATATATCTTCAGGGCTCTGACCGGACACAAGGATAGGTCCTCTATATCCTCTGGTCCGAGGATTGTAGATAGCGCTGGTACGTGGAACTGTTTATCTGGCCGACCAGGTAGTTGGTTCTTGGCAATGAAGTCCCATCTAAGTCCTAGATGAACTGCAGCATGTTGCCCCGTGTCGAATCTGGTTCGACCGAAGTCCAGCGCATGTATCTCTGATATCCGAGCTGCCGTGGCTAGCGCAAGCAGGAACAGAGTCTTCTGTGTCAGCAGCTCGAAGGTAGTCTGGTCTAGAGGTTCGTAGGCATCACTTGTAAGATGACATAGAATTACATTCAGATCCCAGGCCCGGAGCTCTGAACTTCTTTTGCTGGTCCTCCAGTTTAAAAGATCTCAGCAGAGCAAGTAATTCTGGTACTTTCGTCAACTTGATGCAATCAACATGGTAATCACTGTACTGATGGCAGCGTGGTATGTAGATAATGTCGAACCTTTCAGATGTCTAGTCTGTCTAAAAAGACACAGGTATTCCGCCACTTGAGGATGAGTAGCTTTCATTGCAATAAAGCCTTTTCGCCTTGCATAAGTCTCAAACTTCAGCCACTTGTCATCATACAGGTTACAAGTAGATCTGCGTAACGGTACGGTACTGCCTTGGCTGCCCTGGCGGAGCATCCTCTTTTCTTCAAACATGTTTTGATACGGTCCACACGTGTAACTGGAACAGTGTTGGGTTCCCGTGGACTTGTTTGGTGTGCGGATGTATGAGTAGGTTCGGCCAATCTGTAACTTGATTGTTGGACTTCCGAGATCTTCTATTAGGTCTAGGAACCATACTCTCGGTGGCCCGTATGGCGCGACCAAAGTCAGTTGTAGCGCCTGCGTCTGTTTGATCTTCAACAGTACTTTGGGTAGTAATATCAGTGGTGGAAACGCATAAGCGTTTAGTCCTTTCCATGATATGTTCAGTGCATCTGTTGCCCAGGTTTGAGGATCTGGAACTGGTGAGACAAATGTCTGTAGTTGTTTGTTCAATCTCGTGGCAAAAAGGTCTATGCAAGGGGATCCTATTTCCCTTATGATGAGCCGAAATGCTTCTGGATAGAGCATCCATTCCGTAGGTGACGGGTGCAGTTGTCGGGAGAGAGAGTCTGTAAGCACGTTCTTGGCTCCGGGTATGTGACACGCCTTTTTCCAGATGTTTGCCTCCTCCGTGATGTCAAACAACTGGAATGTGAGCTGTAGTAGGCTTGGTGATCTTGTAGATCCTTGCCGATTTTATGGAGAATGCCACTGTAGAGTTGTCCGTGTGGACCATCAGCATTCTGTTGATCAGCGAGCTCGACCATAGTTGTAAGGCGTTTATCACAGCTTTCATCTCCAGCAGATTGATGTGAAGATGCTGCTCTGTTTTGGACCACTTCCTTGATGCAACTTGATTTTTAAGATGTGCACCCCAACCTTGTATCGATGCGTCTACGTAGAGATGTGTGTCGAAGGCCGGCTCTTGTAAATAGGTCCCTCCGCACGTTCGACCTGTGTGTCCACCAAAGTAGGTACCTCTTAAGATTGTCTGGCAGCAACATTGTCTGGCAGCAAGATAGGGTTGACGCTGTCCAGATGTTTTGTCAGGAACCGTTGCAGCGGCCTTAGTTGTAATCTTCCTGTGCGGGTCAAGTCCTGCGCCGAGGTTAGTAGACCGAGTAGACATTGCCATATTTGTAGTGTTAACGGAGAGATGACTGCTTGTGGAATCATGGCTTGTATCTTGACCCAATGATCTTCTGGGACCACAATTCGATTCTGTGTTGTGATAATTCTTATTCCCAGCAATTGAAGATCTTGTTTGATTCTAACTCCAACTTCATCAGGTTCACTAGCCATCCTAGTTGCGTAAGCAACCAAATTGTGAAGTTCAGACTTGATTGGCACTTTGAAGAACCTGTATGCTGTCGTCCAGATAACCGGCACTGCGTAGACCTCGATGCTGCAGATAGGTGCAGATAGGTGCCGATAGGCTTTGTTATTTATATGAATAATCATAGAGCCGACGATATTCTAAACGGTAGGACGTTCAATTGAAAGTGCTCCATTGCAGTGATGATACATCATTCTTCCCCTTATATACGCAGGCGATCTATGTTGATCAGCATACATCGAAGCGTTGTCTATTTATAGCAAGGCTGGCTCCAGTGTAGCATCGCAGGGGACAGGTACTCATACCGACTTATATCAGCGACAACTTCCAAAATAAACATTGTTTATGCTGCTGTCAAGGCTAGACATCTATTAGATTCCCATGATGATAACAGGCCGTAGTTGTATACTGTTTCCAAGGCTGTCGATGAAGTATTCCCCGTACCACGGGTTTGTTTACAAGTCAGTAAACTTGCTGGTGCCTTCTCTGTCAGTGGGAGGCGTTGTCTGACGTGGACCAATCAGCTTCCAAGCATGACGTCACCACAGTTGTAGCAAGTTGGCCTCCATAAAATCTGGTGCAATTAGTTGGTTGAGTAAAAGCGTGCGTAATTCTACGCTGCTCATATAAACCTCTTGAATAAGGGTTGCTCCAAGTGTAAATTCTTGTTCAGTGATATAAATCACGTATTCCCATTGTAGATAATATAAGCCAGCATGACGAAGGAGGCTGTCGAGACGCATGTCTGTTTGGATCTTGAAGAAATACCGATGTTGAATCCAGTTGAACATAGAGATTTTTTCTGGGTTACATCTTCTTTTTATTCTCCAGTTGATAGGACATAAAATCCTAATTCCCACACTGAGTGACGAGTGTTAATAATATCATCTGTACGTCCGTTCAAGGATTCTTGAAGGCGTTGTTAACCTTAAGCCCTTTACAAAGGTCGCCTTGAGGTTCTCCAGTACTTAACACATCGGCTTCATAGGTGATATCATATTCGAGTCAAGGTCATCAGCGAATATGCAGTACGTCTCTGTTGGGTTGGAGTGAGTGAGTGAGCGACAATATCCGCAGGCCATCTGCTACCCGGTATAAGACCTCAGCATCCGTTTAGATGAAGGGATTCCTTTCATCAAGTAGGTTGTCGTCCGAAACTGAACCTATTACAGGTGTAAGGTTCGTGCAGGTTGTAGAATTGTGCAGGTTGTAGAATTGTGCAGGCTGTAAACTGTAGAGATCACACATGTTGTAGATCTTTTTGTTGAGTTATAAAATCTGACAAAACCATCCGTTTTCATCATTGCTTCGTTTTATTCAGCCTTATGGTAATAGAGTCGATTTCAAC